GCCCAACGTCGCTACTCCTTTTTCTTCAGTAGCACCACATTGGCTGGAGCATTCGGTGGTCTTCTCGCTTCTGGTATTGGGAAAATGGATGGATTGAGAGGATATTCCGGCTGGCGTTGGATTTTCATCATTGAAGGAGTCCTTACCTGCGTTGTCGCCCTAGCATTCTTCTTCCTCATTCCTTCATTCCCAGAAGATGCAAAATGGCTCACTCCAGACGAAAGAGCATACGTAAAAGCCCGCCTCCAAGTAGATCAAGGAAGAAGCGCAGCAGAGCGCAAAATCACTTTCAAAGACGCATGCAGGGTCTTCAAAGACTACAAAGTCATTCTCGGAGGCTTCATGTATTTCGGTATGATCATCCCAGCCTACGGATACGCATTTTTCGCCCCGGGTATCATCTCCACCTACGGTTACTCCCCAATCCAAACACAACTCCACAGTGTACCTCCATGGGCGTGCGCATTCGCATTCGCAATGTGTATTGCTTTCGCATCGGATTTCACACGTCATCGATTTGCATTCACCATCGCGCCGATTTGCGTCGCAATCACCGGTTTCGCTATCCTTCTCACCGTTCACGATAATACTAAACTTCAATACGCTGCGCTATTCCTCGTAGCTATGGGTGCGTACTCTGCCATGCCAGTTATAGTCTGTTGGTTCAACATGAATCTCGGCGGTCACCACCGTCGCAGCGTCGGCACGGCGTGGCAAGTCGGGTTCGGTAATATCGGAGGAATCATCGCTACCTATGCTTTCCTTGCGAAAGATGCCCCGGAGTATAGAATGGGATATGGAATCTGTTTGGGCTTCTTGTGTTTGAGCGCGATGTCATGTTTGCTCTATTTCATGGCGGTCATGTTTGAGAATCGCCAGAGGGAGAGGAGACCGAGGGACTTGGGTCTCACGGAGTATGAGAAAACGGAGTTGGGAGATTTGAGTCCGGATTATAGGTATTTGTTGTGAGGGGTGTTGGACAGAGATGATGATGATGATGATGATGATGAGGGTTGGGGATATGAAATGTAATCAAAATACGAAAGTGGTTAATGGGCAATGGGCAATAATGAAACGAAAGGATATGATACGATATGATATGATATGACAGTATACGAATCGGCATGTATGTATAGCACAGAACGATCGATACCAAAAGTTAATGACTGGGAAAACGTGGGCGTGTTTTTAGTTTGAAGGGTGGAGAGAGAGAGAGGGTATCTAGGTAGTTAATTACCTATGGGTATATAGTTATTCAATTGAATATAACATGCATTATTCACATATCGAATCTCATATGCGCATCGATTGTTTTGTTCCTGCCTCTTTTCTTTTTCGAAAAATAAAATAAAATCGGGAGTGGGAAGGGTAGATTTTGTGTCGAAATCTGTTTCTCGTAAAATTGGATATGTAGCTCCGAGTCTTTGAGTTTTGGGGGTTGGGGTTGGGATTGGGGAAAGATGGGATTGGGGAAAGATGGGATTGGGGAAAGATGGGATTGGGGAAAGGTGGGATTGGGGAAAGATGGGATTGGGGAAAGGGATGAGGGAGAGCGGGGGGCAAGTGAACCCTGGAGGGTGTTGAAGAATATATCTGGGAAGAGAAGGGGACTTGGGTGGGGCTAAGGGGGAGAGGGGGAGCGCTGGAGGGAGGAGGGGAAGGGTAAGTTGTGAACGAGAAGAGAAGAAGAGGAGGATTGGGATAAGGAGTAATGAGATATGCTCGAGTATTCTTGTTACGGGGATATTCCCGACAATATTTGGAGGTCTTGGGATACTTTTGTGGTCGAACGTGAGTGTAGTTTTTGTGTTTCATGTGAATTGAGAATTACTAAACATTGATTTACAGTCTAATAATCGAAGAAACATATTTGGCTATATCGTCTATTTCAACTGAAAACGCACACTGCTCTATGAGATGCCATATACCTACCTAGAAATCTAGGTAGATAGTGAGAAGAAGATACTGATGGTTCAAGGATCGAACATGTTTCGATGAGGCTGAGGAGTTGAATTGAATAATTATATTTGGAGACATCAGATGAGATAGGGGGGCCAATGAATTCTCGCTTTCTTTACTAGCGTGGAAAATCTATTACAGCGCGCTCAGAAATTTTTCAATTTTTCAATTCCAAGCAACGGTTCCTACCTTTTCGACAACGACCGGATGTGAAAGTTTATTGCCTCACTGTACCAACAATATTCTAATACTATAAAATGGCTCGGGAAAAGTGGACAAAGAAGACATCAAAAGGTGGAGATGCGCCAAAATCGCAACCACAAAACAACAAGTCAGACAATAAACCCAATGATGACGACGTGTTAGGATTGTGCAAGATTCTCCTCCCAGAGATACAGGAGGTCATCAAAAAAGGAGTGGTCCCTCATGATAGCATATTACACTCAGTTTTCCGCAACACATTATGTACAGCTGGGGTAGTGCCGGTGATCAGGAGTCTTACTGCGAAAGATAATCCTGAATCAGCTGAAATGACACACCCTGAAGGTGTCACAGTCAATAAACTTACAACTGCAGTGGTTGACTTGTTCAATGAGAATATAGTAAGGAAAAGTGTAATCAATCACGTCCCCGAGCCTCTATCTCACTCCTCCGAACCAAGCGACGATAAGGGTCGAAGCCTAGCAATGATCGAAAGTCAGAAACATATGCGTCTTGAATTCCTTGTCACATCAGCGTAAGTTCGCTATCATGCATTGTACTAGTGCCTGACATCAAATGCGATGCGAACTGACATTTGAGCTAAGTAATAGGAAAGTGCCCGTCGAATTGCCTTTGAACGAGAGGATAGTTTTTATCATGAAAGAACACGAAACATCTGATGAGCCTTACTTGACACAAAGCGACTTCCCAGAGTACATTTCGATATCAGAGGAAGTGTTGATGAGAGCTTGTCCGTTCATACGAGCGGCATTTAGCTACAAGGATATGGGCAAATTTGACGATCCGGGTGACATCTGCATTTACGATCCTGCGTTTACAGCGCACCGGAAAAGATGCGTTGCGCAACGCAAATTGGTTTACCTTTCAGACTTGGTACATTCGTCGTTTCGTGGTACGGCAAAGCATTTGCACTCTGTATACGATTTGAAAAAGATTGACAAATGGACAGCCGATACGTTTTGGAAGCATACGAAGTCGTGGATTTTGTTCTTGAGGGGAAACGATTTCAGCGAGAACATCTCCTCCACTGCAGAGATGGATGAAGTATGCATGCTTGCAGCGTTCTTGGGGGCCAAGAATAATGCAACGACGGCGTTGAGAAATACATATCAGCATCAGAAGGACCGTGCCACAAGAGAGAAACTACATCCACGGCCTCAGACACTGCTGAAGGATGAGCCTGGAAGAAAGAGAAGTCCTCCTGAGAGAGCAGTTCGAAAGAGTGATTATGTTGCAAATGATACATCCAATGAAATGCTCGGTAACACTGGTTGGCGAAGCAGAGACGATTAGATTTCTGATTCTAATCGAGTTGCATCATAACTGCTGCTGTGGTGGCAATAATTTGGGTTTGGGTTTGGGTTTCACTTCTTTGGATGTCTCGCATCATAAGTCAGCATTGAGCTGCTGGCATAAAAAGGTTCATTGGTTCTGTGGTCTGGCCAATACATTGGGGAGCTCAAAGAACAGTATCATGTTAGGCTCTATCTGGGGTATGCGAAGGATCAAAAATACAACAGAGTATTGAGGGCAATTGAATGTCTCGTTCTGCGTTAGGGCGTAAGGAGAAACAAAGATACCAAAGATTGCTGGAAGTATTTAATGTTGGCTGGGCTTTGAGATATGGACAAAGTAAAGGGTACCAAAGAGCGTAGAACAAGTTTTGAATACCCAATTTCGATTGGAGGCAATAAATAGACTGGAGAGCTTGATGTATGGATATATTCTCAAGAAATATCTAATGTTTAGTTTTGATGAGGCATTAAAAAGCAACTCTAGGGGTTGCACCAATACCTCCTCGATCACAGATATTAGAATAAAAGTGAGCAAAGTTTATGTTGCAAAATCAATCCTAAATGGCAGTGAACTCACAAATGAAGAATTTCATCTCAAGAGGAAAGGCCATGGGCAGCTGTAAAGCGAAGATATTTTCATATCAACCTGAGCTTCGTGGTTGCTCGACCCACCGTTTTTGTCGATATTAGCTTCGGGTAACCTTAACCTTAATCAAGGAGACAACGGGGCAGTGAGAATAACCATAAAATCATGTAGTATCATACCCATATGCAACCCAATCTCCATTAAGATCTCTTGTATGGATGTATGAGATACTCCTCAACATGGCGAGCATTGCGAGGATGGCTGGTCGTTCTGATAATGGATATAATTCCGAATAATGGGCTCCCGTGATTGGTGGAGTCGTCCTGCTTTGTCAGCCCCGCCGTGAACCTGCATGATCTGCGCCTCTTTTATTTCGTGCCTTGCAGATTTCTTCAAGTTTTCTACTGTTCTTCTGCTGAATCCTGCGCTTTTAATTGACATGTACTTCTTGCGATAGGTCACTGTACCATCAGGTACCACGCCATTATTCTACACCTGGTGCAGCACCTCCGGTCAGAGTACAATCTACAACCTAATATCTACATGATTGACCACACAAGACTTCGGTTCACCGGGGCTACTCCCTACGGCGTCCCTTCATTACAAATGGAATGACTCCGTTTCCCCGTTGCAGAAGCTTCATATCTACAATCATAATTGTGCCTTGACCTACCTCGTATCTGGTACTCGGCAAGGAGCGGGGCTAAAAAACCTCGATGCATCTTACTCCTCCCACTCTACAGATTCAATTTTTATATGCGAAGTTCGCTGTCATGGGCAATCCACTTGCGTCGCTGTTAATCGCGCAGGGGCAGCAAGGCTGCCTAAAACTTCTTCAAGTATTTAAGGAGATGAACCCATTGCAAACATCATCTGTCAACTCAAATTTTATCTTTCTTCGTTTACCACCACTCATTCATTCATAGTTGAATTACAATATGTTGTTCTCTGCAGCCTCGATTCTACTCCTCACAACACCCGCTCTCGGGCAGACCCTTAATGCCTGGAGACAAACCGTCTACGGAGAAGGATGCTGCAGCTACGCGGTAGATGGGAATGTAACGACTTATGATGAAATTGACTCTTTGCCAGAACGTCTTGCTCTTCTATTCAATTTTGAAGCCAAATATATCGGTTTTTACGTTCAGTCCTCCGGTGATTACATTACCGACTACTATGTTGAAGCTTATGAGCCAACGACGGGCAAAGATATTATTGTTGGAAAGGTTTCCGGCGCTACCTCTAACTTTACTGTTGTCAATTTTTACAACTCTGCTGGCGCAGCTGAAATCTTCACAGACACGATGTTTTTCCATATCACTGGAGCATCTGATGGAGGCAGTACCACATTTGTGAACGAGATATATCCCATCTACTCAGGCGACACCATTGTATACCCCCCCGGACAATCCGCTCAACCCTCACCAACTCAAACATATACAATTCCAACACCGACTTCAACCGTTTTCCCCACACCCACAGCTCCGGGTATAACCCTCAATGCCTGGCCCACCATCTCCGCCACCAAGCCCATCGTCCAGGACTCCGCATCCTCATATGTCGATGGAAATCCATCCACCGGCTTAGTCTCCTCACGATATTTCCTTCTTTTCAATACGCCAAGCACATACGAAGGATTCTACATCTTATCTCAATCGCCCAACTATATCACCGACTATTACGTCACGGCACAAAACCCTATCACATATGCGAATGTTGAAGTCTGTCGCGTCACGAATGCCACGTCGAATTTCACGCTTTGTGCATTTGTGGATGAGGATGGGAAGGCAGGGTTTAGAAGTGCAACGATCTTTATCTATCAAGATGGTGCGGAGCAAGGGGAACTTAATGAGGTTTATCCTATTTGGCCGGGCGATGTGGTTGTAGACCCTAATGCTTAATGTCGGAATGAGTTATGATATGATAATGATAATGGATGTGTTTTTGTTTTAAGGAAGGGGTTGACTGAAAGGCTTTTGGGAGAACTTTCAGGAGAAAGGGAGTGTATATCAAAGATTTAGATATGTTGGGACCATAAAAAGTGATGAACAATGTCAGCTACCAAGATTTCTCCCCATCCCTTGATATTTTTCTTTGTTAGTATTTCCCGCGAGCTGAACTTCCATCTTAGTTTGGACACCGCAGAAACTTCATACTTTTGGATATGTGAAGTGACCAGGACTTGACTCTCTTGATCTTCCGCAGGCATGTACATTCTTAAAGTTGCGTAACAGTATCTTTCGTGAGGACTTGCTCGGAATACATATTCTATTTACTAAAAATTGCACTAAAGGTTTAAGCTATTTCTCTTGAGTGTGAAAATGATAAGAGATCGGGTATTCAGCACAGTCTTACAGATAACAGAAGATTTCAAAACTAATTACGCTGTATAGCAGATGGAATGGAATCTGGAGGATAGATAAATGCCATTCAGAGATGCTTTGGGTATTTCCACAGATCATGACTTCTCATCGCTAGGTATTGTCCAGGTGTGAAGTTGATCAAAAATGCAATATGATCTATTGATCTTGATTAACAGCGAATTTACTGCTTCATATTGGAGCCCAGAAACAAAGAATCACCACCAAAATGCAGAGGATTTTAGGTTTCTGGCATATTGCTTTCTTACTCCCAAAGTACACCATTTGCTTTTGTCGCTGTGTCTTGCTCATGATCTCCGGTTGGTAGATGTCTGGAAAGAGAAGGGGGCCGAGTGTATGGAATTGACTATGAACTGAATCGGCTGAGTGTGACTGATGATGAGAGTTGATGACAGTAAGTTAAGATGATGAAAATGTTAGATGGACGGGTATTATTGCTCTGTGATCACTCCATATCACTCTATGTTCTTCTAAAGTATCCAGTATTGTAGCATCTTCGTTGATAAAATATGAATATCTGCGAACTATCTACCAAACTAAGTTATATCAATTTTGAATGGATGATTTACGAACAAGTCAGAATAATGATTATTTCTTCACCAAACGCTCGTTTAGATCCTTCAAGTATCCACTCCTCACATGATTTTTCCACGGCTTTATTAACCAGAGCCATTATCCGCTTTGCTGGCATGCGTCGTGTAAATCATCTACGGTTCTCGAGTGAATGCTGCAGCAGACCTTATGGTTATCCGTAAACTTGATTTCATCTACAGGTTGGTAATGATAGACGCTAGGGATAATAGCAGGGCAAGGGCGAAGTGGTGTGGTAAATTATTTTGACATTACAAATTTTTGGATATGGGATGATTCCTCTTTCTGTAATGAGAACATGAGCATCATGTATAAAAGAAAATACCTGCAATAGATCCTGTCGAAGGGTACCTAGGTACCTAGGTAACACATCCAAAAGTTAAATTATGTAACATATCTATTAATAGTATTCGCTATTCATTCAACCGTCAAGATACTACATGTGTTTTAACCGAGCATATATCCCCAACAAAAGTCCACGGTGGGTGGTGAAGTGGTTAATCCCTCTGCTCCGTAAGGAGAACTTGTTTGTATCGGAGATAATAGCTGTCGCAAGTTCTCCGCCCACGGAATGATCTGTTAGTATCGGAGATAATAGCTGTCGCAGATCATTCCAAGTGTTTGTTTTTTGCTTTTTCTATCTTTTTGTGGAGCTCCTTTTATGCTGTGGTTCTTTTGCAGCTTCCTTGGCTTCATGATAAGTTGTGTGATGACAGTCATCTTGACTTCACTCTTTTCGATCAAATTCAATATTCTGACGAGTGTTGTGGACTGGTAGAATGCCATGTAGCTACACACGAATGTTACAGGTCACAAGGTTTTATTTCTTGACTATTGATGATTGAAGATATCAAAACTCACTCCTCTAATAAGCATATAACAACTTGAATTAGGCGAGTATATCCAACAAAAATCCACGGTGGGTGGTTCGGTGGTTAAAGCCATCGGCAAGAAGCAAAACCTTGTTAGAATCAGAGATAATAGCTGTCATGAGTGAGCGGCCCACGGAATGCGCTTGTTAGAATCAGAGATAATAGCTGTCATGAGACATTCCACGGATTTTTTTGAAGTTTCTTTTTGATTTTTTGTGGGTCTCATTTTGTGTTGTGGTCTTTCACAACTTCACTTGACGACAACGTACGCGACGACAGGGTTTTTGACTTCACGCTTTTATGATGATTTTTTTACTTTTTCAAGGATGTGTGGAATGGCAAAAGACCATTGAATCATACACAAAGGTTCCAAGTTGCAAGATTTCATTTACTGTTTGTTTGAGGTCAAAGATATCAACATTCACTCTTTTACTACGCTCATGAGAAGTACTTCAGCTAGACAAGTATGTACAGCAAGAGCAACGGTGGGTGATGTTATGGTTGATCCCGTTAATCCTGATGAGCTTGTTAGGATCAGAGATAATAGCTGCCGCAGATAATCTCAAGTGACTTTTTGCACTTTTTTGACTTTTTGTGGGACTGGCTTCTTTCGGGAGTAGGGGGTGGGGGGTGCGGGGTTGGGTAGGCGGGTAGTCTCGCTTGATGATGAACTTTGCGACAACTATCTTGACTTGACGTTCTTTGAAATTCCACCCTTTTGACGGGTCCTGAAGTGGGGCAAGACCCTTCGACAGTGAATCATATATTTCTGATATTCTCTTCTGTCTCAAAGTTTCAATATTTCAAGAGTACAAATTGCCGTTTGGAGCATGTGAGTCATGAAGCAGAGAGGATAATGAATTGCAAAAATAGGAAATGTTACAATATTACAATGTTGGCCAGATAATCAGAGGCTTCTGATACAGCCTGTGATTCAGCCGCTCTCTTCACATTTGCAGATCAATATTCACGCAATTAGATTGGCTTTTGCAAATAATCAATAAATACTAATGGAAACAAAGACAGCTGCCTCTAGGTACGAGGACCAGTGTTAAGGTAAATTCTGCAAACTCCCCAACCAAACGACATGATGATATCAAAGAAATCGCCTTCCTACATACATCTTTCTCTATTCTTCGCTCTCCCTTCTTTGACCAGTGGTGACTTATCTTCGTTAAATCTTATCATGAATGAAAGATGCCCCAAATACATTGTTCTTAAAGTGAATAAGAGTAAGACCCGTATCCTCCACTCATAAGAGTCATCAAGGCATCGCAAATTTCTCCACAATAGAACCTCAACGTCTTTGCCGCGGAAGACTTAATTAGCGTTCAGCATCAGGATTTTCCATCTTGATCTTCTTGCCTGAGGGTCTCGAAGGACCTGCAAGAGAACTAGTGTTGCTGTTAGTGGTTGCAGGTCGCTTTTGAGTTACCGCTGGAATAGCGGCAGAGCTACCCGAACTTTCAGAGTTGGGCACTAGGACGCGTGGTGGGCATTGTGTGCGTATTGAGCTCCGGCGGCGACGGAGATTTGGTTGTAGTGGTCTAGATTGTCCCATGGCAGCGCCTGGTCCTGAATGCGGCTGTATATTACCTTGAGTCTTACAATTTAGTTTGCTGCCGTTATTCTGAGGAGCTGAAGCAGCAGGGACGTTAGAGTTACCTCCCTGAACAGCGTTGGAGCCACCTGCTTGAGCAGCGTTAGAGCCACCTGTCTGAATAGCGTTAGGCATGGCAGAAGATACGATGCGATTTGCTCTGCGTAGGCCGTGAGTTAAGGCCGGGCCTGAAACCGTGAGAGTGCTGACCATTCTGCCTGTATTACGATCAGAGGTGGGCATAGGCGCATAGGGCTGTTTGAAAGCAGGATTTGTGTTTTCAGACCCAATTGATTGACTGTCGCTAATATCCAAACTACTAGCAGCTACAGACATACCGGTTGATAGTCTAGCACCCGTTCGAGTATTTGTGGCTCGGCGAGTAGGATTATTACCAGGATTTCCGATGATAGAAGCATGACCAACAATACCAGTATCTGCGCCAACGGGATTTTGTCGAGGGCGAGCGAGTTGATTAGCGGGCTGAAGAGCTGCGGCTGGAACTGCGAGAACCTGAACTGGGTGATTACCAGGAGGTGGTAACCTGTAGCGCATAAGCTCTAGAAACCCATCACGATCCGTCGTGCGTGGCTGACCTAAAGATTCAGTCAGTCATAACTATGGGGATCGATGCTCAAAGATACATACCACTAAAATCCCTCAGCATGTTATTCATGCAGGTTTTATATTGCCAGATATGGTACGCCTGTTGGAAAATTTCGGCGATAAATTGGTTAGGCTCTTCATCCTTCAAGTCGGCTTCAATTTCTTGCCAAATGATCTGAGCCCTACCGAGAACATTTTCTTCAGTTAACTTTTGCTCTTCGCTAGGATCATAAACAAATGCCAAGAAACCCATTGGACCAGGTCTAGGGCGGGAGAAGATCCAACGCTTGAAGAAGGCATGATTCTGGATGATCTTGAATAACTGTCCCCAAAGCGCAGGTACCAAGTTGATACTGTGCAGATTGAAGGATTCGAGCTCATTGATGATCCCTCGTACCCAAGCAAAAATTCCTCGGCGTTCCATAAGTCCAATTTCTACAACGGTATGGTTACCAGACAAGAGTGGCTTTTGAGGTGTGTCAAAGGAACTGCATATATCATCGGCACGAATATCAATAGGACATTGTGGGTGTAAGCGTATTCTAAATGCTAGTTCTCGCCGGGGAGCTGCGTTAGCCATACCAGGTTGGTGATTTACGTTAGCCATGCTGATTGTGTTGATAAAGCTCGAATTTCGATGGATAAGGAAGATATTGTGTTGAGAATATTGATTCTCTTGATAAGTTTGGTGAAGAGGTAAGTTAATCAGGGAATTTATGAGATTGTTATGTCGAGAATAGCAGGAAATAAAGATTCACGATGGAGTAACTGAGTGCTTTTAAGAAAATTAAGGAGGCCCAGTGCAGACCCGTAAGTTCAGGATAATCATTGAAAGCACTGTACATCAGCTGTACTACAACTGAATTGTAACTAATGGCACCAAGCTGTAGATCTAGCCCCTCAATTCAACCTATCAGGTCTTCAAAAATGAAGGAAAGATCCGTGACACTTTGCTGATGGCCGTACTTATTTCAGCCAACTACGGCTCTTCGACATTGGAAATTTCTCTATACCAATTTAATAAAATTCACATAGTCCCTACCACTAACGGAGGAAAAGCAATGAAGAGTCAGCCGTATAAAAACAAAAGCCAAGCAAAGAATAAAGGTAGATGAATCAGGTTCGATCTTTAATTATTCGAATAAAGATAGCCAATGATGAAATATTAACTCTAAGCATGTGTAGTCTGACACATAAAGATTGAATGTAATTGCGAGAGGATTTTCACCTTGAGATGTGTATGATGTTATCTTTCATAATTTAAGCGAAACTAGCGTGTGCATTTCCAAGGTCAAGTCGAGAGGAGGTACATAGTAAGAAACCAAGATAATGGAGGGATATTAGACTCTACGTATTATAAAGCAGTTAGTTTGTCTGGATTAGCATCAGTGGAACATCTTCATGCATCAATGAGAATTATTAGAGCAGAATAATCAACATTTGAGACTAGTGGACTCCATTTAATTATGATTAAATTTGAATTTTTAATAATATTCTAACTGAGTGGGAGTCTGAATTATTAAATTGTCAGGTTCATCAAGCCTCTATCCGGACTATTGAAAACTCTGGCAAAAGTGTTTGATCTTAGGACTGTAAGTTTCTCAGATTTCACACGCATGGACACGGTATATGTACGCAAGTGATTTGTGTATTACACAAGAGAATTTGATATGAGTGTTGTTAATTGATTTACAGGAAACTGACAACTAAAACTAGAAATTATCATGGACACAAGTTCGCTCTGAATTAATGAAAACCTCTGAATGAATGAAAACTGGTGGAAAAAGTTGCGAGACTTGAATGCCTAGAAAGCATAACCGCCAGACTACCAATACATGCGTCATCAATAGATTGCTATAGACGCTATAATAACACTGTCTGGTCCAACACACTAGACTTCGTTGACTGCTCGCCCCTGCCGTTCCCAAAAGCTCACAGTAACTCCCCAATGCATATCTCTCCAGGATCATCTCATGCTAAAAGGACGATAGAGCGATTTGGACTTGATGTTCTTCGCAGGAAGTGGCATATCGCTCGCAGGTTTGTCCGAGGCGAGTTCATTTCTCGAAGTCTCCACGCTAATAGCGTCCTCCATAATTGGTGCTTCGGCCATCAGTTTATCACCAGCAGAGTCTTCGCTGGCAGTTTTCTCGATAATAGGTTTAGCGCTAACCTTAATCTCGTTGGTAGACTTATGGTCTATAGGTTTGCTGCCGGTCTTACTTTCCTCAAGAGCTTTCTCGCCCACAGACTTTTCACTGCCAACTTTTTCTCCAATGTGACCACCACCAACAACTTTGTTTTTTACCACCTTATCTTCGGCGGCCTTTTGAATTACCCCCGGGCTTGTAGGATTTTTGAGATTGCTTGGCCGGTATTGTTTGAGGAAGTTTGTGTACGGAGAAGCATAATCTGACGGGGAAGTTGTGGGATTGTTGCTAATTTTCGGCTTCTTGTTATGACTTTCCGGAATAGTGTTGTAAGCCTCACTGATAGGTTCGGGCCTTTTCGAATTGACTTTTTGGAAGTGATTTGCCTTGTCGTCTTGCTCCACATTGATGGGAATAGACATGGTCTCCTTGGCTTTTCCGATATCGTTAACTTTCGTATTGCGCTGATTGTGATTGCTAGAGACGGATGTTTTTCCCTTGGGCGTGCTCAGATTATTCTCCGTGGCATTGGGTTTCTTACTACCAGTATCCGTGACTCTGTTCCGTGTTTTCTCTCCCGCACTACCGAGCCCCTGTTCGGCTGATCTTCGATCAAAAGATCCACTTCTTGTTTTGTTTGCTTTTGTAGCTCTTACTTTGCGTTGATTGCTAGGACTATTGATAGATTTCCTAGGATTGACCGGAAAGCTAAAATGCCTAGTTGTGTCTCTGATATGTACAGAAGGTATAATTTCTGAGGAAGAATGTTCAACTTCATAGTTCTCTTCAGGAGACAGGACAAGTGAACTTCGATGGCGGTCAGAATCTCTCGACTTGAGGCTTTTGACAGGTGTAGATGTCGATTCCGGTGAAGGCGTATCTGAAATTACAATCACATCGTTGTTTGGGGCACTGAGGGAGATTCTGGTATCAGAGGATCGACTTCCGGTCTTGGTGCGTGTTTCGCCGCTATGAAACTGTGCTGACTGTCCATCGTGAGAGGTCGGTAAATCTTGTCCATGGCTGTTTCTACCACTGAAAACTGGCTTGAGTGCTGGTATATTAGTCATAGGACCTTTGGATCCACCACCAAACCCCTGAGCTCTATTCGGGTACCTGTCATCTCGACTCTGTGGTGCAGGTAGGATGAAGCCCACAGGAACTTGAGAGGCCTGTGAATATTCTATACCATCGTTATATTTACCACCCGCCATATTAGAAATATTGCGCGATGGCTTATCGCGAGCAGTGGGTGGTTGGTACTGTACACCGGGGTGTAAGCTAGGCGACTGTTTACCTTTGACCGATAGGGTGACTGGCATTGCAGAATGAGGTTGCTCCTGAATCGATTGAGAATATCTTGGCAGTTGCAGATGACCTGTCTTCGGCTGCAGTATCGATGGAGTTCCGGATGAATGTGTTCGACTTGGGTGCATAATATTATCGCCTGAGTTTCCTCGTCTTGTGCTGTATCCTGCGGGAAAAGCTTCTACATTTCTCGCATTATCACTGCTCGCAGGCGCCATGGGACGGGGAAAGTAACTGCCCAATGGTATGGATCTCTCCTCTGAAACTTGCGTTATATTTGCAGAATCGATGCTACTGATTCTAGCATAGTTTGCCGCTTCTGCCATTGTTTCCATGTTTGGAAGGACAGAAAGACCTGTTGATAGTTGTCGTTAGTATGTGGTTTAAATAGAAAGAAGACATGCACTTACCCCGAGTATAGCGGGCTTGATTGACTAAATTGTTCTTGATATTCCAAAACCACCCAAGATGGTCAATCATCTGATCGATAAACGCGCCATCTTTCTCTAGCCTTAATTCCCACTCAAGATCAGTCCAGACTTTATGCGCCGAGGCGAAAATATCATTTGGTGTCCAAGGTGGTTGGATAGGGCGTGGAGAATGAGTTGCATGAACTCTGGGACGTGTGGAGACCCATGAATAAAATTGAAGGATATTTTGGTACACACGAAACAGATCATCTGCGGCCTTCTCATTGCCTGGATTCAAAATGCCCATTCTTTGAAGTTCATCAATGATATCATGGGCCCAAGCAGTGATCCTGCGACGATTCATCGATGGGAGATCGTTCTTGGATCGCGCAAATGGGTTTAACATATTGTAGTTTTTCAATTTTTGTATTTCGATGGACAAATCTTCGGAATATTGCTGTGTTTTTGAGGAAGACGTTGTCAATGTCTTGAATTGGAATTCTGTCTGTATATCCTATTCAATTGAATACGGCTAGCGTACGGCTAGACCACATTTCCAACAAATATGAAAAATTTGACTTTCAAGCGAGGTCAGCCAGTGAGAATGGGTCACACCATGTGGTAATTTCGTTTACAAGAAGTGAATAATGCTGGACATTGGACGATATGCTAAGAACAAGTCCGAGCTTTCATGAATATTACATGCTTTATTTTAGTGTTTGCTAATGTTGTAATCTTTACGCCAGATAATGATCTAGTGAATTTTGGTGCATAACAGATACTTTGTTGTAATGCATATCAATAAAGGGTCACCTTGTCTTACATGCTCAATGAGTTCAAGCTCAAAATTCCGTCTTTCCATTTACATATTTCTGTGTTACCACTGAAGTACCTCGAACGTACGATTCAATGAATTTATTAAGTCTATGCAAATTGGTTCACTTGAAGATATGATGTCACAAAGGAGAGTAAAGAAGCTCGATTATCTAGTTGTCGCTTACGAAAGGGGCTCTGGTCCCTAAGATGAATACATAGCATCATCCTGTGCTTTGAATAAGAGATAATTGTTGCTAAAGTAAGCCGTCTTAAGAACCGCGGCTAATGATAAGGGTAGACATCTCTAAACCAAGAAAGATCAGTATCTCAGTGACGGTTGCCAAGACAATTAGACTTGGAGCATTCACGAAAAAGAGCCGCCTTTAGCTCTTGTGGTATTTCGAGGTTGGAATTTCATAGATGGGTCAAGCAAAAAATTACCGAGAGGAAACCTACGAGAAGGGAGATGGGAAATATTCGCAGATAGAGTGAAGCGTATACCAATACTAGACGGCGACTGTTTGACCTGAACTTTAAATGGATATGTAATGGCTAAAGATTCGATTGGCATTCGAATGTAGTCCATCGAGCTTCTGCGCAAACTTAACTACTCGATTTCAATTGCTATTCCTTAAAGCTCAGACACCAACCAGCTTTACCGATAGAACACTAGTGGGTATATAGACGAATGGGATATTGCAAAAATTAACTAGTGAATATCTCTTGATATATCAAATCACTTATTTTAAAAATCGCTACAATTCTTGATTAAAGATGGAACAATCAAAGTGTGAACTCTGATATAAAACAATTGAAGAATGAATTTACTTGAAATATTGAAAATTGAGAAGTGTCCTGTCAATACATACACCCACTGGTGGACTATAGGTAGAATTCAATCATTGCCCGGTGACCAAAGATTTGAGCACATTCACTCATTAGAGTGTCACCAATAACAACTGAATAGAATGAATACGGCAGCAGACTTACAGGTTTACCCCTCAACATTAAGCCAATCAGTACTGCGTTTGGTACGGAAAGTTGTGAATATATCTGACTTGATCATACGATTTACCATTCAACGAATGATCACTACTAGACGAATGCGTACTGTGGCAATGAAAAGTCAGAATTTTAGCGAAGCACGTTCGTCTAAAATTTAAAAATTTAACAATAGAGCCCGGACTTTGCCCTTAATAGCAATGATTGAAGCACCTACTTAGTAACTTTTTTCTATCACGCACAAAAGGATTGCTTGAGAGAACGTTATTCATTGCCAGCGACTCGACACCCTCTTCAATCGTTCATCCCCCAAAAGAAAAGATTCAGCAAGGCGAGCTTTGCATGAAAGCATATAATGAGCTTCCCCTTAAGAGAAGTCTGGAGCGAGCTTCTGCGCTCTACCTCAAACAATGAAGCGGTCCTGAAAGAGCTTCTCGAAGGTCGCCCAGAGATCGAACGGGCGGTAGATTTAAACTGCACATTTATGAATTATATTTCTATCATCTACAAGGTCTTTAACATAAAGATAGAAGGTGGACAGATTGATCCAAGAGGTATGTAAGATAGCGATTTATAAAGGAGACCAAAATTGACAACTGCGTCGACTTAGTTTGGCTACCCAGCGACCACGAGTTTGTCGAAATGTTAAAGTTATTGGTACGCTACATAGACGACATCACTACTTGGATTGAGGACCATGATAGAACCGGCGCGCCTTGGACGTCTATTGGTGGTAAGCTTCAGTGTGCCACAGATCTAGGGAACAAGCTGACAAATTGCTTAGAATTCTACGCAGAGTCACTGCTCGAAGTCGACGCGCAGTGTCAGAGATGGTGGGTATTGGCCGATATGACCATCTTCAATCCGACCACCACTCCGTTTAAGGTACTTCCAACGATGCCGCTTAATGAAGAAAGTGTCCTGGAAAAATTCGATCCCGCTAACTTCAACCGGTTCCAAGGGGCACGATCATTTTCACCCATGGAAAATAGCCCCATGGACAGAAGTACAGACAGGAGTACATTTGAAGCTTCGCTGTCGCCAGAATTATCATTAAAACAACGTCAAACTCCCTCTACTGCTTCCTCAAGTTTCAGTTACCAACCCGCAACGATATCCCTCGACAAAGGCCAGATAGCAGCCGACTTTACTGATAGTTGGAATGGTGTCGAACATTCAAGCTTTTTCTCGCACAATTCGTATGGTGATATAGATCAGGACTTCCTATATAATGGCGACGTCGAACCTGGAGGACTTGGTGTACAGCAGACTCCCGTTTTAATTCCAACGACACCACGATTAGAACAGAACGGATTCGTAACATCACATAATCCGAGTTTATCATTCCACTCACCTGTTGAAAAGCGAAGCGGATTCTGTCAGCCAATTTCTCCGCCTGCCCAAAAGATCGCTATACCACGGCTTCAAAAACAAGGAACTTTCGAGCCACTTTTTCCACCAACCGAACATTCCGAACTTCGTTCTTCTCTGCCTACTCCACAGACTTCCACTTGTGGACTACTTAGAAAGCGAGGCTACTCGAAAGTTTCGCCGGAAGTTTTGAATGAAAACCCAGAAAAGAGACGAGCAGTAGTCACAGAGATGCCGCAGCATAAACCGGGATACAAGGGAATGCAAGAGTTTTTACCTGGCTCTAAACTTTTGCCTGGTAGTTTGATGCATGGCTCATCTGGCAGCGCTCCGGGATTTTTCGGTAGAGCCTACAATACCAATTATTCAGCCTCGACAGCTTTCAGTCCCTTCAAGAGAAGCGCGGAAACGCTGCAAACTAAACACAATACAGTTCCACACAAAGTTGCGATCGGTTCGCAAATGGATTGGAGCAACATGGTTTCAACCGAAAATTGCCCAAAAGGGAGAGCCAGAAACATCGTTGCCACACAGCAGGACTGGAACGACATTGTGTCAGCCACCTTTGACTCAAACACAGGTCTCGAAATTTCAAGTCCAAAAATTAGTCGCGATCCCTCGAGCTTACCAGAAACTCCTATGATGTGTACAGACATGAATATAGGATATGGACGCCCGGCTACATCCCAGCAGCCAATGTACTTCAGCTCACCAGTGCACTCCTCACCGATAACAGGAAGTAATTCAAGGGGGTAATGTATCCGGCTTCATCCCATTAAATGGAAGTCGACTAATACTTGGTTTATTAGTGCTGGTCATAAAGGCTTACGACGAATGCACCACAGTGCAGTCAAGAGAGACTATGTTTTAGGTGAAGATCAATTTTTTGAAAACTCCCAGTCAAATTGTTTCAATCCATGGTAAAGTGTTTACTTGTCTATGTAAATCGTCAGAGAATAGGATTGTGTTATTAGAGTTTGCATCGTCTGAGTAGCAGACAAGTACTGTGGTAAAGAAGCAGAATTGGAAATGATCGCGAGGTGTATGCTTTCTCATTGCGAAGGATCGGAGGTAGGACCAAAATTGTGGGTAAATGTGTGGATAGGACTTAGGGGAATTTAAAACTAAAGAGCATATGCTTGATGCTCTAAAAAATCCAGACACGACTCTTCAGTTTGCACTTTGTAAAGCTTTGGAAAGTGGCATGCTCATACCTCTACATTTGTATGTGTCTCCAACTTTGGGGCGGAAAATTGGCCGGACCAACGCTACAATACTTTACAAACAATCGGTGCCATTCATGGTTCATTCCATTTCATCTTCTGTGACCTTACGCCCCGTGACGCAGGAGTGATTCATTTCTAATTTCGATATCACTATTCGTGTAGCCCCCCGAACCTGTAGATGCGCCCGCAATACAATCCTATTTGTACAAACATTTCCAATATAAAACTCTCATCCTTTTCTATTTACCTTGTTGAGCATCCTAGCCGTTGATATCTGCTGTCTATTAGTATTTGCAATCTTGCGTACCCCGCTCCGCACGCCTGCACGTACCTGACTCTTCGTATTTTGACCCCTTACTGGCAGGCCCATCGCATGCCTCCTCCCACGGTAACTACCCATCGTCCTCATTCTTTCGATGTTATCCTGCAACCTTCGTTTCAATTCGGTCTCTAAAGGCATAGTGGACAGCTCAGCGGTCAGAGATGTGACCGTTTTTTGTGACAAGGAACCGACAGTCGCCGTGGGATGGATGTAGTGCTTGGCCATAATACGAGCTGAAGCTTGTTTCCCTAAGCCATAGAAGGACTCCAACGATTTCTAAACACCATGAGTATGTGTACCAAGAATTGTAGCAGGCTCAATGGGAGTTGGATGGGGCCTTACCTTCACCAAGTTTCTCTCAGCGAACGGGGCCCCCAAGATGAAAACCTGCAACCAATGTCAATACCAGAGTAGAGAGAAAAGATCGGGACAAATATACCATATTCAAGAAGTTTTGATTATACTGGCACAAGGGATATACGTCTTCAATGTCTCTCACAGTTCTTAATCAATCATAAAGATGTGAAAGTTACCTATCAATTTTTGATAACGCACGGACTTCTTGTATTGACCCTCAAGCCTTCCTATTCCGAGGTTCGCACGTGCCATGTGGCGCTAAAGGTAATCGACACCTCTCCACAACACATAACTCGAGCTTCCTCTGAACAACATCACTTTGTCTCTTCTAAGGTTTTTCTTGGAGGGCACATTATCTTCATTCTAAAAGTACACCTCATCAAGTCGATATTCAATTGACTTCCAAGATGCTCACACTTCAACGTTTTGTAGTCTCAGCACTACTTATCTTAACTGTTACCTTCCTCTTCTTCGCTCAAACGGCCGAAGCTGCCAAAGGACCAAAGATCACCCACAAGGTCTACTTCGACATCAGCCACGGCGATGAACCCATGGGTCGTGTTGTTCTAGGTCTTTATGGCAAAACCGTCCCTAAGACTGCTGAGAACTTCAGAGCTTTGGCAACTGGCGAGAAGGGATTTGGATATCAAGACTCTACTTTCCACCGTGTTATCAAGGGCTTCATGATCCAAGGAGGTGATTTCACAAAGGGTGATGGAACCGGAGGCAAATCAAGTAGGTTGCAAAGTCTGCGAGCGAAGTACGGGATTCTAACAATTGATAGTCTACGGAGCTAAGTTCCCCGATGAGAACTTTAAGTTGAAGCACTCCAAGAAAGGTCTTCTCAGCATGGCCAACGCCGGAAAGGATACCAACGGTTCCCAATTTTTCATTACTACTTCTACTCCCGGGTAAGTCATTTCTCGCAAGTCCTGCAATGGAACTTCATCATTCTAACACTCTTCATAGCCATCTTGATGGTAGACACGTCGTCTTTGGCGAAGTTTTGGAGGGATATGAGATCATCGAGGCAATCGAGAACGTAAAGAAGGGAGGATCAGATAGACCAGTTGAAGCTGTCAAGATCACCGAGAGCGGGGAATTACCAGTACCAGAAGAAGGTATCCACGTGGAACTCTAGAGTAGACTCCTTTTGCGGCATGCGAGCATGATTGGGAGGACTTACTGATTCGTCTGTCTTACGTGCTGTAGATGTGTACGGTACTGCTGAATTTCAACCCGGCATGGAAGAAGTCGAAGTTCCTCTTGCACCAACCGATCCTTCCACTCCTGCTGCTGCCACCGCAGTCATTCCAGTTGTTGGTACCCCACCAAAAACCGAGACAGAGGAGTTTGGCTATGCTGATGAGGCTGGTTACACTCTTATGCAAAAAGGGTTATTTTTGGCTGTTATTTTAGGATGTGTGGCCTTCTACGTGCGAATGAATAGAAGGAGCAAGAAGTTTGAGAGGTCAATCGTCTAGTTACATAGCTTTGCATTTAAGATCACTCTTTACAAATATTGCTGGTATCCTCAGTCTATTCGCATTCTTATTTTCTATCTGATTTCTATCTTTAAACATGATATGGTACAACAAAACAATTCTCGTGGATGCTTGATTCCTGTTAATTAACCCTAGACTCCAATAAATCTCCTATTACCAATACCCCCAACATTTAGACCAACTCTGATTTAGACCAAGGATTGTGTATTGCAGCGTCGATCGGTCGCACCAATGAATTTCTCGACCACACACGCTTTCTCAAGTACTTCAGGTTCCCATTCCACCCAGTATTCGCTGCTCTTACCAACTCTCTCGAGCCATGGTCCCAATGCCTTAAATGCCATTTCCACACCCCATCCCTGGATCATCACCGCTTCTTGGTTGTTCTTCACTGCGTAGTGTCTAATTACAAAATTCCAATCCACACTAATACAGACACCCCCTTCATGCCAGTCATCTAGATTGACCATACCCTCGAGTGCAGGTTCTGATGTGGCGGTACAGCCCTTAATCAGGCTAGAAAGCAAGCTGGATTCTTCAGTTACCCACATGACTTTTTCCAGACAATGTTCATATTCTCCGCTCGCGGTCAAGCTTTGAATCAAAATGCACTTATCCATGTGATCATCCGTCCCACGACGACTTGGTCCAGTAGCGGTATCGCCTCTCCAATCACTCGGTTCTTCGCGATCTGGGTTGTGAAGAACGGCATTTCCGCCAGGCACGTAGGGATCCTCATGCTTTCTTGACACTCTCTCGCGTGCGTAAACATACCCCGCGCGAGGTTTCTGCTTTCTGAGATTGTCGTCCCCTGTTAAATCAATGATTTCGTATCTCGCCTTCTTGTTATTTGTGTCTCCCTCGTATGACGATTCCCTCTTTGCAGAAACGGTCTGCTGATTGTTATTTGAAGTTTGTCCACATCCAGCAGCAGGTAAATACTTTCTTTTCTTGATGTAAGAAGACAGCTGCTTGTGCATGATCTCTCTATCACTCTTGCTGACTAGGAGGAAATCAGCTAAAACTCGAATGTTCTCCAAGTCCGCCGCGGTTGAAATGGCAGATCTCAACTTCTTTTTGTCCCAGAAATCAACCAAACAGCTAGAGTATAACCAAAGCTTATGAACAGGCCACTGTGCTATAGTGCCATAGTTCATATTGGCGTCATGAAATTCTGAGGTTATGACATTGTGTATAGATACAATCTTTCCAGGCACCTTAATCTTCAGTTTGGTCGACCTTTCTGGGTCGTGACATATATCATCGTCGTCATCTTTCACGCCTCCACCGATCTTTCCTTCAAACAACACGCGTAGCATAGGTATGGTGGAAAAGATTGTATCCTCAGAAACCACAGTATAGTAAGCGCTGGGGTTCTCTTCCGTGCATCGGAAGGCTTGTATGATTAGTGGCCTTTCGATTGAACCAGGAACTCTGGAATTGAAGATCCGGTTAACTTTTTCCATGCTTTTGAATCATGTATCTTTTTGCTGCGATTGTGTTGGGATCGAACATACGGGTATTTTGGATCATTAGGTTCCTCATTTTCAAAACCATCGAAAGCTCCACTGGTAACCCTCCCAGGCTGGCTGGTTGGTTCTGCTTCAAGTGCCGGTGGTGATAGTGGCTCGATCAATGCTGAGGATGAAGCCACGTGAGAATTTGCAGGATTAGAGGACTCGACAACGCTGTTTTCGTCTACGCCTTTGGATTCAATCCTTAGTAATTTTCGTAGTTCAACAACTGCATTGCAATCGAGGTCAATTGATATGTAATCCTCGTTCGCAACAAATTCTTCGTAGTCGTTGATTAGTCGCCGCAATCGTGGTATTTCCTGGATTGCTCGATCACGGAGTCTCGAAATCTCCAAATGCAACTTCGACATTGCTATTGATTTATTGTCCCGCACGGAGTGACACAATCTGGCTTTGTTATTCCTGAGCAATGAGCTCTTCAGGTACCCACAGAAAGATGAGAAGTGTTGGTTTTAATGCAAAAACACAATGTAGATACTGAAAATGGGAAACAAAGGGTTGCAGAGAATATAGTCAACAAGAATAATTCACCGCGACTTGTTGAAAAACGATACGCGTGCCGAAATATTGATATCAGACGATATAACACGCTTGCCCTTCCCAGAACGCGAAAGAAAATGCCCGCTTGGTCAAATCAAAGTGGATGCAATACATCCTTAACATTTCATCTTCGAATACCAAAGTAAAGTTCCGATTATGGAGGATCATTCACCTCCGCTGCCTATCAGGGCGAAAGATACACAAAGTGTGGTTCAGAATGCGTTATCTAAACAAGATATCGACTTTCGTGCAGCTGCAGATGTTCACTCAGATCAAAAGATATTTGATGGAGCAGGTATGTGTTAGAATATCTCCATGGCCTTCATTTTCCAAACATTCTATTTTGACAGTCAGAAACTGATATCATTGCAGGTTCTCCCGAGCCTCTTTCTCATAATGTCCGAATAGAACCTGCTGCTGTCTACAACGATGTTGCGTCCCAATCTCAACTCCCATTGCGAAATGATAATAAGGAACAACAGAACTCCAATCGCGGTGCGAGAATCAATCGAGACAAGCTGGGAATGAGCGCAGCGGGTTCGATGGACTCTCAACGTTCCCCGAAGAAGAAGCCAAATGGCCGCGTTCTCATTTGTGAAATTCTTGGTCCCGATGGAACACCTTGGATGCCAAAGTTAGGAAGGTGCCGAAGAAAGAAACTACGGGCGCGTTCCTTGGCAAAGGCAAAGGAACAAATGGCTCTGGAAGAGCAACGTGCGGCTGAAAAGGAAAGGAAATATTCAGAAATGAAAGACGCGCTGTGATCTCTGCTTTAGGGAACATTGCGGCACGGAGCATGGATTTTAAGAATGGCAATGATAAGAAGTAATCCCGCGAGGAATCAAAACTCAAACATATATGTGAGATCATCGTTTTAGTCACAACTCTTGAGCAATACGTATCTACGATATACTGGTACAATATTCAAAGGTACTTCCGTCATTCAAGCCAGCATAAAGCCAAGATATAATGAGATAGTCAATTCTTCCCTCTTCCTGTAGTCAATCTGATCTCTTCGAAATTCATGAGGATGTCATCAAATTATGTTCAATGAGTAACATAGCTTAGCTTCATCATAATAAATAACAGCATCTGAAGATAAGACAAATGTGAAATAACCAACAATGTATACACTTGACAAAAACAAAAACTTTCACGGTTTACTTTCGCATTATGCTCTACCTACTTCATTCTGATATATCTAACTTGAATGCAAGTAAATTTCATTATTTGAAGTCCACGACGAAGATATTAGAAGTGCAAAGCCCTAGGTGGAAAAAAATCGAGCGGCAAGTGATACATATCAAATCAAGAGACGCAATCAATCCTCGGAAATCGCACTGCAAAAATGGTGGACGATGGACAAAGTCCTGGTGTGCCGCTCCCTGGATTAATTCGATGTTATGATAGAGAGATTCATAGACGTAGTTGAAGTAAGGGAGAAGAGTGTTATTATTAGTAACGGAACCACTACGAGACAAATGATACCAGGCCCTTGTGTGAGCTGCCCCAAAAAACTCATGGGGGGCGCTACTATTAAGGAAGAAACAGATGATGAGGGTTATATATTTAGACAACGTCACTTTATCAATAACCAGAACAAACATGTGGTGTGGCATACCTGTTAAGCTTCGGCGTCCAGGCCCGCACCGTTTGTTCTCCGTAAGCTGTAGATTTTTTGCTTCTTTTTGTTCCCAAGATGTTTGCCCCACTCTAAATGAAGAACCGATTTGAGGAAAGACCAAGAAGCTGAGGGTCATATATTGAGATAGCATCGCTTCATCAAAAATCAGAACAAACATGTGGTGTGGCATACCTGTACTTAGGTTTCGACCGACCAGGCCCGCGCCGTTTGTCCCCGTAAATTGTAGATTTTTGCTCTTTTGTTCTTCCCAGAGTTCCCCCACTCTGTTTTATCCACTGTTTATTTTTTCTTACAAGATTTCTACTTCCTGTGGGGTTTTACGCGTTTGCTGGTGATTTTTGCCCGTATTTTGATGCCAAAGTTTTATTGTGGGCCCAGCTCGTCTAAAGTCTCAAGCGAGATAATTGAAGCTAGCAAGCCAGGGAAAGGATGTATCTAGGTAATTGAATACTAGCTGAGTACTTGCAAGGTAATACTTATAATGTGTTCATTAGTTATTCGGATCAGAGTGCACCCACTAATTCTAGGCCTCAATATCCGCATATTTGTGTGTACAAGTATCACTTCCTTCGGGTGTAAATTGGGGTTGCTGTTCGATAAGCTTTAAATGACGGCGTGCTGCTTCCTCTATTAAGCCAGCTCTAGAGCTGTCAACCATACCCAAAGGACTGTACTTTGTTACCCAAGCATTTGTTGCTAACGCGCTTTGCAGGTTCGAGACTGACCGCAGAGGGAAAGGTATTACCTTCAGTTCATGATAACAGAGCTGTTACAATAGCTGTTAAAACTTTCCTGTTATAAAAGGAATAGGTACAGAAATACACAAAAGTTAAAACATCATTTTCGTGGGCTAATAATGCAATCGGAATTTTAGACAGACTACCAGTGGGCATATGGACTGACGGGATAACATGAAAAATTCACTTCTAAATGTTTCTTAATATATCAATTTGTATATTTTGAAATATTTTTAAACTATTTATGGAAGATAGAACAATGAAAAAGTAAATTCTAATATAAATCAATTGAAGAATAAATTTGTTAGAAATTTCGTCGAAATTTGAGAAGTGTCCTGCCAATCCATGCACCCACTGGTGGACTAGGCAGTGTCACTCCAATAGTTCAACATGCGTAAACAGAAGAAAAGCCTCCACTTTAATCGAAAGCTCAGGTAGATACTAGTACGTTATTAGTTGTTCTATGTCAAGCATATCCTGTCAAATCAGATGAGGCAGCCGGATGTTTAGTACATTCTATTTCTAAAGACTACCCCATCTCATCTGGTCGCACAATATCAATCTTATCAGCTTCGAATCAGATTATTGATAATCTCAGGAATCAGGGGGATAGACATTTCAAAGTTTTTGCTTTCTCGATCTTCACTTGAGTGTATAACTATACTTTCCTGAATATCTTACGATTCTTAAATGAGTTAGATACTTGTATAGAAAGGACTCTAAAGCTTAAGGATAATCGTATTAAATTAGGTTTCTGTGTGAACTATACCGTAATTTCAGTATTTCAAAAAAACAGATTACAATGTACTATCCGAAAGCTAATATTAGAGGCTTTATATAGCTATAAAGTGCATCAAGGAGTACCTAGTAGTTAGTTTGCGTCGTGAGAAAAGAGAAACCTATCTCAAGGTAGGTAGTTTCAATTTCTTCAGGAACTCCTTCGCCTCTTCAATTGATCTTCCATCTTTCGAGTCCCATCTATCAGGCTCTTTAGGTTTATCCCATGGCGCACAACCGTGTGGCCAAACTACTTTGCTCTCGTCCTCAGCAGTCCACCATCCCCTACCACCAGCGAGATATATTTTCTCCCTCCTGTCCATAGATTCCTTTGACGGTCGTGATCCTCTACCCTTCTCAGCATCTTCCGTCATCTTCCATTCGTTCTCCATCACACGCAATTCTAGAAGTCGACTATGGTCCCACATCACATAACCCCATTCTCGCTCAAATCTATGCTTATCGCATAAAACAAACTCAATACTATTGAATAATTGGTGTGCCCACCTCCATACAAGTTCAGGTCCCTTGTCATCATCATCATCACACCATACAGACTTATTGACATATTTATCATCATCTTCGTTGGAATAATCCTCAAGCCAATGATACAATTCATCTTCCCCACTACCATCTGTGGAATTCCTAAGCCCATGATCAAGGAGATGTGACGAATGCTTCGGAGAATCTTGACAGTAGGCTTTGCAAATTTGTTCGTAGCTCTTCGCTTCGAGCATGTCACGGATTGCAAAAAGACCACGAGCAATTAGGGGCTCGATATATTCTGGATCGTCAAAAGAAGCGTACTGCATCCTGCATTCGGCCCATTCCACATCATGGTCGACGAGCTCATCGAAGCCTGCGTCGATGTGTTAGTTCTTTAATTAAAAAGTATTAAAAAGAAAATGCACTCTACCAGGAGCAATGATGCGAAACATATAATCGTGAACGCAAGCTAACTGTTCATTCTCCCAGACTGAGAAATGATTGAAGAAGATTCTGTTCTGATCTAAATGTAAATGATCGCTAAAACCCCCGTAAACTACACAACAATAGATTTGCAAGTGGTAGAAAGTTCGTTGAATCCTCCTTTTTTCCTCATCTGAGGCAGGAAGTTGCCACATAGCTATTGGGATGTTTTTTGTGAAAATTGAAGATGCAAAGGCTTTCGATATAAAATCGTTCGTGAAATAAACAACATGAGAATGGAGTTCACTTAGGAATAGCGCATCACAAAGTCGCAAATTGGAATAGGCTTTAAGCTCGATATCTCGACCATTCTCGACAAAATAATTATCGTATTCGTCGAGGACATCATCTCTGACAGGTGTCTGGCGTGAAATTGAAGCAGTTAAAAGTGCTTCGGATAGCAACTCAGAGCCTATCTCATCAGTCAGGACTTGCTTAAGAATCAATTGCTCTGCTGAGAGGAAAGCGTTGTATGTGGCTTTGCACGTGAGAATGATGGACAATAGATCAGGGACGTTTTCGATGAGACACTGAATAGCTTGTATTGCTTCAACGGGAAGTAACTCCAGCCTGCTCTTTGATTCTTTCATATTATTTGGTTCAAAGTTGGATCATGTAAGCTGGTATATCTAGGTACCTACATATAGTTATGGTTTTGGCTGAGCGAGGTGAGTCAATCAGGATTGTGACTCATCGCGACCGCTATGCTGAAAATTATGTCATAAGGCTTAATAAGGCACCACCAGGCACATATCTTACGTATCTATGGATGTCAATTCGTGTAATACTTTTGGTCTTATTTGATTCAATTGCCTCGAATACATGTCGATTTCTTTCTAAGACCCAACCAACCATCAATATCAATGCCGTCTCAACACTTCCAATTACCCATTAAAGGGTCTTGAAAACGAAAGTGCAAGCCCCTGCGTTACGACCACGGCTTGAGGGTGAGGTTCGGGGTGATGCAAACGCGGACGGACACTGAACAAGCTGTTTTGTTTTGCTTCTGTTTTAAATTTTCACCTTGTGCGCCCAGTCATCAAACTGACATCTCAGTGAGGATTGTCTGGGCAGGTAACAGACAGTGACTCGTTGTGTTCGAGACTATTAAGTCTTCAGTTCTCTGCCAATTGAGGCTTTGTTAAGATTTAGCTCCTAGGATACTTTCCTCGCTGGCATGCGCACGGGAAACTTAAAATGCCCAATACTTCTCACATCTTCTAGCGATGGTTTGTGACTAAGAAGGACTGTTAATCGGGGATTGTAGCCATTCAATGAGTCATGATGGGCACATTTTTGCGGAGATTGCCATTTGTCGATCTACCATGGTCTTCTGTTTGGTTGAGCGACCTAAGTGCTCCTATATGATTCCATTTGTCTCTTACTTGATCTTACTCAATGCGACAATCGACGTAGATTTGTGGCACTTATACATCTGGCCAGCATGGGTACACCCTCACATTTAGAGACCTCTCTTTCCTTCCTAGCCAAGTTAATGGAGCCAGATCCAACACCTTCTCAAGATATCTATAAGAGGCGCAGAGAGTATTAGATACCTGATAACGAGAGGGAGCGTAGGTCAGAATCAAGAGCCAGCAGATCAGACAAAAATACCAGTAGAAAGGGCAAGGAGAAAGATGAAGGCCCATCAAGCAGAAGTCAGAGAAATTAACCCCTCGGCTCGAACACGGAGATTGAAAGTTCTCCGAGCGGTATTTACGGGAATAGCGTGAAGAAATCATTTGTATATATTTATCTTTGATACGTTTCTAATTAGAGGGCTACAAGCAGCTAGTTACAAGCTCCAAAAACAATGAAACACACTTTTTATTTTATCCTAGAATCCGAATTATATAAAATGATAATAACATACCAATGTAGATCTGTCTATTTTATCTAGCGTACAAGATACCTAGCTCGTAAAACCAAGGTTACGGTGAGTTTCTCATCGGAAATGACTGTTATGAAAATATATCAAAATGAATCACAAGGTTGATGCTGAGCCTACCGCAAGTGAATGTAGAGACTAACCAGATACTAATCTACCCTCAGAATTCATCAAAAAAATTGTTATTAGATTTTTTAATATCATATTTCATGTCTTCATCAGCCAATGATAACAGTTGATTGAACTGGACGACAAGTATTATCAAAAAATCTTTCACAAAGTCCCATGAGTTCGTACATGCACTGATCCATGGATGTACCTGCTGAGCCGTATTTTACTTAAGCGATGGATCACATGACCCTCTGAACAAACAGACTTGACAATGTTCTCAAGTTTGACGGTAGCTAGACCTTCCAATTCCAATTGAAATAGTTGTTAAAAATTTATTTTTGAAAGCCGACAGAATTTTTATCAAGACCCTTTTGCTAGCAGAAGTCATGACATCCTTTACGGAAAACGACATGTCCACTGTCTCCAGAAATCCGTAGGTTGTGTCTTTTTGCTTGTAGCTCAGAACACAACCCCTTGAGAATGGAAACAAGAGCCATCAACCATCAGCCTTCATTTCAGCAAGACTAACATTTTTCATTGATCTAGTACCCTAAACAAAGACCATAAGCCCCCGAAACTCATCACCTTCCAATCAACATTCCTTAAGAATGATCACGAACAGATTCGCATAACCAAGGCATCAGAAGCCATCATATTCGAGAAATTACCTTTGATTCAGGTAATATTTGACTCAAAACTTAATGGGACGTTCAAAGACGACAAAGATCAAATTTGTTATGATCCAGAGCACGCAAGAACGGAAAGGCCCGCATTCCCCAAAATCTCAGGAAGGATAGTCTATATGTACAATTTGATCCAGTCAAGCCTCAAGAATAGAGGACGGGAATACGAACAAATTGTAAAATGGAACACTGGAACGCTTTGGACGATGATTGATTGTCTTGTACGCTTCTTGGATGGGAAACCTTTGCCTCTCGATTCTAAGATGGGTCTTATGGAAAAACATTGGGACCTGGAATTGATAGGTATTGAAGTACTGGCAATATACCTTGGATGCACTGAGATAGATAAGAAAACTGTGCGCAACGCGTTGATTTCATATATGCGCCGGCTTCCTACCTCTGATTTCGCAAATTCTAGCAGTTCCTTGGAGAAAACATCCGAAATAACGAATCGTGCGAAAATGTTTAATAGGAACAACTCCGGACAAGCTGAGATCATTGACTTGACCGAAGAAGATCACATTAGTCCCCCCAAGACTATTAAGGAGAAATCACGATCAGCGCCCAAGTCGCAGAAATTAAATGCAGGCCAATTGGCTTCTATTCCAAAGAGGTTGAGGACCGAACCTCCTCCTGGTTCTACATTAAAAAAGTCCATTCAGGCAGCCCAGTCAAAACTGAATCCACGGAAGTCGAATAATGGGAATCAGCCAGCTGCTAATCTACACGATTCGAGAAGCTCAATACAATCGAACCAAATTTCAAAGGGACAAAAGAAATCAAAACAATCAACTCCCACTCTACGAAGATCGAACGAAAAATTATATCAAATTACCACCTCCCGGACGCCAATAGAAGAAACTCGATCAAAATTTTCCCGTCTAGGTCCTCAATCTATGCCAATTGACGCTTATATTAGCCTTAACGAAACATACGGTTGCTTTCTTCATGTGCACATAGGCTCAGCAACGAAAGGATCAGGACTGATTGGCCGACTACTGCAGGACTTGCACATGGGATTCTTTAACAACGGAGAAATGTCGAAAGTTGTTGGGAAGGGTCGCAACGGGAAACCTATGTTAGTTTGGGATGAAGTATTGAAATACTTCAGCGTACCTGGAAATGTGGTCGAAAATATGCTATCATGGAGTGAAGATGATCGCTGGACGCCCATGGTGATGTTCATTGAGCGCTGTCAACTGGATCGTACTTTGTGGCAAGATTGGGATGAGCGAGATTTAGCTCTCGCCAACTATTTCGACATGTTTGTGAAGGCTACTCCTGGGGCGAAAGATGTCTAGGCTGATTCTGATTGTTACCTTGACTCCATATCATGGACCTTTCGTTTTGGTTGAGTGATTGTTGGTATTTATGGAAATAATAGGAGTAAGACAGGCAGAGTTTTTCCTGTCAGAGTAGGGGAGGAACACGCCGAGGGGATGGGGGATAGCGTGCAAGGATATCATGAAGTGTTCAGGCTTTTCATGAGAAAACACACTTCTCATGCAAAATTCATGACAGTAGGTTTTTCCAGGATTATGTATGCAGAAAAACTAAAGACTGTATTGTGAGTGATAGATAAATGATATTTACATTGAGGTGAAAATCTTACGAGCTACTAGATGCATATGGTGGCTTGCTTAGAGTCCCACTTATAATCATGACTAACCTAGACTCTAACTTGACCTCACTTCATCATCAACTTGAGGAAATTGCAACAGGATGATCGCCCTTCGTGTCAATATTAACTCTTGAGCTTGAGTGGAATTGGTGCATTGATTTTATCAGACTGAACTTGTCATTGTGAAAACGTAGAGACCAGATGTGTGTACATAGAAGGCATCTGGTATTCGCATGATTCCTCAATTTTGACCCCTCCGAGACCAGAGAAGCGTCCACCAAATAATTGAGTATCTGATGTAGGAGTAACACTATTCATGAGTTCTGGACTGGGACCTCTTTCATTCTTAATCATCACCCTTCTCGCCATTGTTCAAAGCTACCCATTTGGCACCATGTGTAACGATCTTCTCATCTGGTATCCATATCCATGCACATATCTAAATCCGCTTCACCTCCTAATTAGATTCGCTATTTCCCATCTGTGGAGGTAGTCGTGTTCCATCGCTTTAGAATATATCAGTCACTTGCATACTTCATTATGGAATAGAAGTAATAGTTACCTGGTTCAAAAGCCATCATCTCCATCGCCAGATGCACTTGTGAACCCCATTGATTGGGGTTTGTTCTTTGCTTCCGGACTTTCAGCCTTTATTTCTAATCTTTTGCGTAACTTAAGTTCCTTTCGACGCTGCCGCTTCACTTCTTTTGTAATAGCCTCCACAATTGTAGGAATTTCTTCGCTGCTGTGAATTCCCAAAGCGATTTGTTTCTTCTCCTCTTCCATCCATTGGAAACGAGCCATTCTTGCCCCTCTCGAAAAGCCCAATTTTTTCTCTTGAGTTCTCGGAGGTTCTACCGTTTGTGTGTAAGATTCTTCACCGTAATTCGAATATTCAAGATCAATTCGAGGGGAAGTGGCGTTGGAAGGTTGCTGACTAGAAACTAGAAGCTTTTGTTAACACATATATTTAGCTGTAAGAAATTTTTCAAAAAATACCGAATTGCCTTTTGAACGGATAGACAGGGTCAAAACTTTTGATGCTTGGCACACTAGCCCTGCCTTCCACCGCAAGTTCTGAACCATCTTGTGATTTAATGTCGTGTTCATCGACTATCTCAGTGTCGATTTCTTCTTGCTTGTTCATTTGCGCCATATTGCTACTCGGGATTCCAAAATCCAAAATGGCTTTGTATTTTTGTGTTGTGTGGTCTCGAAAATACAAGAACGTGATAAGAGAATGGTATGAAGCCTAACATATTGGCTTAACCGTCTACCCTGCGAGTAAGACCCTTACCAGGTTTGAAAACGACACCCAGTGACGAGCTGCTTTGATAACAACTTTTTTTTGCACGTATTGGAACAGTATATATACATTACCAGGACTTTTTTTTTGTTTTTCTTTTGCAAGTTTGAATGTTTTTGCAGAGTTATTTTACTACTTGCTTTTGGTCGCGACTGACTTAATTGTGGATCTTCGGATCCTCTCTCTTCGTGGAATTAAACGACGACTACTGTTGTGGGGCATGTAAATAACGAGCGAAGATGTTGGCCAATCATAAGACAAGATAGTGCAATACAGGATTTAATATATATGTTCGATTGCAGCTGAATAGAATCTGATCATCGTATGCAAGTGATCAGTAAGAGCACAGTATATGAGGTTTCAAATGCTTTTACGATCAAGGCTCGCAGGATGGAAGCAAAAGAGGTTTTAGAAGTCTGCAGTCGCCCAGTTCATTAGATCTTTGGTTCAGATAGACCGATTTAAAGATAAGGGGTTAGTTGGTCTTGGAGGTTAGCTCTTATAATAAGAAGGAATAGTATTATTATAAGGATAGTGGAAGATCTAGTCAGTTTTAGCTTGAGGGATAAATCGAATATATAGAATAAGAGTTGAATTGAAGTCAATTTAGAAGAGCTAGGCTGAGTTGAGATGAAATTGCTTGCTTTTTCCTAGAGTTTCTTTAAAGAATATTCTAGGTTTATATAGTTTATAATGAAATTCCAGTATATTTCATGCTTATAAATAAGATCGATTTAAATCGTATCTTATAGAATCACTTTAGATAATAAAAAGAAAGTACAACCAATCAATTTAGCGATATTTCCTGTATACTTCCATCTAGTTCCATTTCATTCTATTCCATTATAAATCAATTTGATAAGAGATACTATTATACAACTATATGATAATATGATTTTATAATATAAGATCATATCATATGTGTATTAGTCATCAATATATCCCTTATTTGATAAGATATTAGTAAGTGATTTAGTGGACTTATTATGAATCCTCACAGTTGGTCTGGAATGACACCCACTGCATTGATACGCAGATTGCCAGAAATCTCTCCAGCGGTCCTTTAACATTTCATAAAAACTGTATGCGAAACTTCATTCCACGAAACTCTCAGGTCAGGTCAGGTAAACCGCAGATATCCTCGAAGAGTCAAAATTTAATTGAAGTCTAGACGAGTATTTGTTTCGGGATAACAGTAAATTTCTACCAATTGAGCCACCAATGAAACAACGGGACCCCCCCCCCCCCACAGATTCTTATTGTATAAACCGCTAAGGTACAATCATTTTTGTTTTCGAACTCTTACTACATCTTCTTGACTACATCTTTTTGACTGCATCGAGAGCATTTCGCCAGTCTACACCTTCAGTCTCCCATCTCATTCTATCAGGACACACCAGACCCAGCTGCTGGTACTGCTCGGAACTCGCCACTCTCAATTCCCTTAGTTGGACCACTGTCGATATGTAATACCTCCTCGGAATTTATTGCTTCGGTGTCTTCGTGGTTCATTTCTGCTGTTTGCTTCAACTCGCGCGTGTGGAGGAACTGGATAAGTAAGATGGCGAGGAGAGCTGCGATGACGAATCCAAATGTAGCTGGGAAGCCACGACCTGTTTAAAAGTTAGCAGCTGTCCTCTGTTGAAAAGGCCTACAAGGTCACCTACGAAATGTGGGTGCTTCGGTTTGTGGAAAGATGACAATTGGAAGCCACGCCGCTACCTGTGTTTACACGGGTGAGTAATTTGACCGAAGCCGAGTCGCCAAAGATACTGACAGCGTACTGCAAGCCATTCATACTGCTTATAACAATAGCTCGCTCCTCGCTATCTCCTGCACATATTTCATTTGCCCATGCATAACTAGTAGTCCAATCCGATATTAGCAATTTTATGAAAAAAAAAAGTCGGCAGATATACAAACTTACAAGACTGCAGTCATGATTTGAACACCGTCTGTGAGAAAAGCAAACTCTTTCAATTTTACGCTTTTTGGCCAAATGGCAAGAATTCCGTTGGGAATCAATCCATAAGTCTTTTTTAGATCAGTTGTTGGGCTTCATGGTCAAATCCGAGCCAGTAACTTACTAATGGTCCGATCACAAATGCAAAACGACTTCCAGAGTAATCTGCCCCAAAGCCCCATAGAATGACACAGAAAGCGGATATCAAACTGGCACCTGATGGGATAACGTTTCGCAAAGTGACAGAGAACTTCTCGGATTTCAGCCAAATAGCAAAATAGCTACTTGCTGCACAACTTGTCCCGTACAACTAATTCATCAAATTAGTGAGTGAAAAGTGTAGGTTTACGATCACCTTACGATATAGCCCAATACAAGCGCATACCACCCTGTCGGAAAACATCAGCAATCTGATCACACACAATCAAAAGATTTTGGTCTGGCCTACTCCATCTGGTGAACATGCGTCTAATTTTGGTCCATGTTATTGGTACGGGAGCTGCCTTTCCGGCCTTTTCGACTCGTTCAATTGCAAGCGCACATTCGTGTTTTGTTAAGTACCGGGCGCGAGTGGTATGTGGTGTGTCAGGGAGAAGGAATATTGTTGCAAACCCAACGGGAAGAGTCATGATCTGGAAATTTGTTATACGAAATCCCTGAATAAGACTGGAAAACTCTTACCCCACACACAATATAGAGCCATCGCCAGCCCGCAAGCCCATGGCGCCCGTTAAGATTTGTGTAAACCGCAGCTTGCTAGACATTTATGAGTTTCAGGAAGTTCAGGAAGTTCAGGAACTGAATTTGCGTACCAGATAACCGCTAAACGCTGTTCCGAGCGGGGCAGTCATGTGAAATATAGCAATACGCTTCGCTATTCAGACCCAGGAGATATCAGAGACTTGCAGTATTAGTTTAGGTTATGTTTTAGAACTTACCGAGCTCAGTCTTGGTATACCTGTGTTGATTTATTGTTAGTTTATGGTTTGAGAATTCATGATAGGGCTTACCTACCACGAGCCAAGTATGAAAAGCATACATGGGAAGAATGAACTTTCGAAAAGCCCAACCAGAAAGCGAAAGGCGTACAGCTGTGGAACACTGTGCATTCCAGCTTGTGCAAAAGTAAAAGTTCCCCAGCCAATTTCCATGAGACCTAGCCAGTAGCTCGGTCGGACTTTTTGAATTATGAGAGTCGATGGTATCTGCATAATAGCATATGCGCAGGTATAAAATGTTCCCTAGGAGAAATTGTGAGCACTGGTCTATGGGAGCAACAGTAGATGCATAGACTCATGGAACGACCAAGGGTCAAAGAGCGTCTTATAAGTCCATGCACTCAATGTTGAAGGGAATGAAAAGCTCCCGGGCTCACAGCATAGGTGTATTGATTGCCGAACATCTCAAGGTCTTCTTGCATGCCACTATTGTAGTACTTCAAATTAGAATACCCGGAAACGAGATTCAAGACACGATTAGCCATACCTAACATAGGCATTTGTAAGATTGTTTTGGTCAAGATATTTCAACTGACGATGACTAGTTTCAGTAATGTTCCAACATTTAACCAGAGGCATGGACTGATAACTTTACTTACGAAAAAGCCTAAGCATCCAATACTGAGAATAGCAGCATCGAGCTTCCGCAGAAGCTTTCGCTCTTCAACAGACTTGAGATGTGTGTCGGTATCCCATATAAAAGACCGAAACTTTCCAGTAAGTGTCAATAATCAATTATGATATCAGGAATTGAAGGGACTGACCGACTGTTTTGCTGCAACCTGCGACATAGTTTCGTGAGAAAATTTGAAAGCACTATAACGGATCCCGCGTTCACAAGAAACAGGACCCTGATATCAAGATAAAGCAAATTATGAATTGAATGGCCACAAATTACTTTATATGCGATTGTGACGTTGCGTGCTTGAATTTTGCTATCACATCATTATTTCACCACCGATTGCTGCATCCATGAAGCATCACATTGGCTCAAGGTACGCATCCTTGATGTGCATTCTACCCATGACTGCGGGGCGATCTTGTCATATCGTATCCCAAGACTGATATTGATGATTTGTATGAGAAATGTCTGTAGTGGTATGCAGCGAGGATAAATTATAGCATGTATGAATGAATAATCGCGGCCAAAAAGAAATATGAATCAAAGATGAAAGATCATCTATGAGAACTGGCTGGGAGTTGAAATTGACTTGAGCCGGGATTAATTAAGCACAGGTATGAGAAATGAACCATGCACATATTTTGCGACTGCAATAAATTCACCAAAACTTTCATTATCATTTCAATATCAAGCCAATTTGGCAGATTTAGAAACAAGTTATTTCGTTCCCTACCACCTTGAATCATCAAGGAAGACCAACTTCAGAACCCCCACGTTCGGTAGCCCTCCAAAGCGGCCGCATCATCCGCTACGCTAACATCTATCTACCATAAATTTCCTCAATCATCACGATGTCGCCATCCCAAGTCTGAAGTCACGTTCTGAGCCTCGTCCGCAACATAATCGTTCCCACGTAGTCTCTTACTATGTGCCTCATCTACCGACGATATGCCTGATTCCAGAGCTCTCTTATTTACAAGAGAATTACCTGTAGGAAAAGAAAGGTTAGTCGACCAAAATCTATTAACCACGCGCAGAGGGAGCCCAGTGTTCCGGAATTGAAGACTAGGGAGGTCAAGTAATTCGAATTTGACAGCAATTCGATGGTCGACTCGGATTCAACAACTCAAACCATTCGAATGTTTCACGTCGATCCAGACCTTCGAGCCCCGTATTGTCAGACTGCAATCCCGATCACTGAAACCTGCATAACAGTACAATAATAAAAGATCTTGAGCGCTTACCGGTTTTAGTAGGATCACTATGATATTCCTTCGACCTATGCTTCCGGTACCTCTTTCGTAGGAGAGCAGTTCCCTCTGTGTTCGCACCAAGAAAACTACCAAGCATACAAACTTCATCCAATTCCGCCTCAGAAGAAATCCGCTCCTCGAAGGATTTTCCATCGACGAACAATACCCAAGTTCTCGTGTTGAGCCATATCTTCTCAATACTCCATCCGCAAAGTATTCTTATAGCGTATGGAGACTGAGAGCCTCGTATCTCATTGAAATAGGTAGAGTCTATCAAGTTAGCCAAGTAGATGATTTTCGCTTTACCAATGCATCTCTTTTTGTTTCGGGTTGATTCAGGGTCATAGATTGCCTTATCATCCAGATCTGGAAACATCCCGATTCGTTTTACATCAAATGCGAAACCTGCGAAAGGACACATCTGAAAGAATTTCTCTTCTCCTACAGTAATAAATTCTGGGAATTCGGTTTGCGCAAGGTATGGTACGTCGGAAGTCTCATGCCGTTTGAGAAAGTATATTCTTCGGTCTTTTAGCGGAGGCATTTGTGAGATCTCCCTATGGCACAGGTAAACTGTTAATAGTCTTTTTTTTTATCGTCATTGACTCGGCATGGAAGGACGAACTTACAAGGTACTAGGTGCGGGCTTCTTTGACGTGTTCGGAACATAATTGGTTGGCTTTGGAGGTGGTATCACTGCGGAACCGATGTACTTCGAAGGAAGACTGCTCGCTGCTTGGATTGCCGGATAATGACTGCTATTATTCGCCGGCTTGGTGCGCAAACAGTCTCGCACAATTTTTCCATCCTTTTGAATGCCTTTGTTGATGGTGGAAACCAAAGCTCTAGAAAATTCAGTATTTGGTACCTCGCTTGAATGCGCTTTCCTGATTGAGGGATGCTGTATAGCTTTGGAAGATTCTCTGAGAACGGGAATTATTCCATCATGGCGCAATATATCTTCTAACAACGGTCTGATTGGAGATTTCTCCGACACCCTGTGATCATTAACAATTCTCTGAACCTCCGGCAGAAGGAATGAACACAACTTGACCAAATCTGAGTCGTCAGACTCCGATGATAGTTTGCGCTTATTCATATTTGATTCTTCTTGTGAAAGATTGATGTGTCGCGTCCGTGGCGTATGAAATCAATAAAAATGAAGAAGGGGGCTCAGATCTTGAAATATTTGACAAGATTATTGAACAAGAGACTTACAAGGACGAGCGAAGCCTGAATGTCCCACATTGCCGGAGTTGTACGGTTGAGAGCGAGAATCGGAAGTGAATTCAATGCATCACGTGGTCCGTAGTTTTAGATTGAGCGATTCATAAGAACGAAGCAAATGAATCGTTCAATTTGACTTGCAGATTATAAGTGCATAGCCTATCGAAAGCATTTATATCCTGTAGAAGAACTTTTGGGAGCTTCAGATCATCACTTAGATTGTGCACGTGGTTCGCAAAATAGAATTTGGAGTTTGATTATGACATCTTAATGGTCTCTGGCCTCGACTATGTATTTTGGTTTGTCAAAAGGCTCAGATGCCTATTACTGTGCTATAATATATGAAACATAATAAGTTTCTTTTGGCAGTGTTGATGAATTTCATGTGTAGGTAGGTACCGTACTTGGACAGGAAATCGAGTGAATTTCAGTGGCCCCCCTTATCTCGTCCCAACTGTTAGCGAAATTCACCCAGGCAACTAGAATTGCGCTAGCTCAACCTCGCAAAGAACCCATTTGAGAGTTTAAGTCTTTCACCTCCAATCAGGCTTTGCTTGTTAATACAACAAGAAGAGAACGACGCGACAGCGATTTCTTCAACAATTGTTTTCTCTAGCTACGTCTGCTTCTGGAGAAAGAGATTGTTTAAGCTTGTCAAATACAATAAAGTATTCTCCCACACTCTATTGCTTATTTTATTACGGCCTCACAATCTCTTGTCCTTGCGATAAACCTTTACAAGTCTACAACTCTTTTTGGCATCTTTTGATCACTTTAAAAATGTCGTCCACCACGGCCCAGGATGTGCTTGACATCTTTTACAAAAAATTAGTGTTACCTGTGGCAAGCTCTACAGGAAATTTCAGCGCGAACGATGCGGCGGAACTCGATAATTTACTCAAACCTGTAGAAAAGCTCCTTGGAAAGCTGGGTGCTCCGAAATTGCATGATCTTGAACATAACAAAGATTTTTCCTGTGACGTTGATCAGAAAGATCATCAAGATGTTAAAGACGGAGATCTAGCCAAGGATGATAGGTAGTTCAAACCCTGCTATTCCTCAATCCAGAATCTGGACTAATTTCTGTCTTGCATCGCACCAAACAGCCTCAATCGCTATGCCGTCAAAGAATTTCTGTTGGTTTTGCAACATCACGAAGACCCCATCAGGCCAATCGATGCACCTAGTCAGCCTGCATATTTCTGTGTCGATGAACAGACTGCGTTCAATTGTTTCCCTCTTTTGCGCATGTTGTTCGGAAATTCATCGCGTCCGATTAACTCCCACATGGCACTGCACAAGGACCTCTTTTCTCCACCTGCCGATGACAATCACATCGTCTTTGACCCCGCAACAACGATGGTGACGAAGCTCCTCTGGGAGAATAAGATTTTATACATCGAAGAGCTTTTAGGTTCTGATTTGGCAAAATCCCAAAAGAACTTTTCGTCAATCAAACACGAGACACCAGAGACGGTGATGGAGTTTATGAAAGTTTGGATAATTTGGCATCAGGAACGAAAGATGTCCTTCTCTGGACCTGGTGATATGAAAAATATTGAAACCTTTATTGATCGTGTATTAGCGTTGACTAAGTATTTTGGAGCGACTGTCAACGAGATCGAAGATCCTAAGACTATGCGCATTCTCTGCTGGTGGAGCTGTCATCAGAGACCCTTTTCAAGTAGTGTCTCTCTTGACAGCAGCCTTCAACATGCAGCAATCATTACTTCTCATTGGAGTGCGAAACAAAACGTTAATAGCACACAGGCGGAGCTGAATAGGTATGTCATGTCTTACTAGCAAGAATGTGATGCGTCATGCATAGAGTAATAATCCAGCTAACCTGTGTTATTCGACATAGGATCAAAAACTCCGAGATCCGGTTCATCGATACGATGCCAGAAGGTTGTAGCAAACCAAAGTTCTACACCTTCAGCAAGGCCAAAATCTTCGGAAAGCTTCCATTGCTTCTTACAGTCTACAGATATAAGCTCGCTGGCTCTTTAGGTGACCTGTCGGACGAACTAATGTATGACCCTGATCTCTCCGCCCAGAAAAACGACGAGCATCACTCCATAGGCATCTATTTCCAAGCCTTAATGCGTTCCTCATTTATGGAAGATCAACCTGGTCATGCAAACGTTACCACGAACCCAGCAAGACTTCGTCATGCCTTTTTCAACTTGGGACTATGGGCAAATGGCGCTCCATTAAGAGAGTTGAGCAGTAGAGACTACCAAGATCTTGCTGACTTGGCGGTATTCCTTGGGGTCAAGAATGCCAGCTATGACCTGTTTGGTTAGTTTAATCATCCCCCATCATGGAATCATCTATTGAGACAGGATGAACGAACTTTACCTTCACATGCTGACACTATTTTCTCAACAGTATACGAGAATAATGTTCGAAAAAATGCCAATAGACACGGCGCGAAATTGAATCTAGGGGCTTAGTTACAAGATACTACAAAGAGGCATCTTTCTTATTTGATAGCGTGCGAGAACGAGTTCAGTGTATCCGGTCATGAAGATTGTCGGGGAATTATTTTATTTTATGTAAGTTGAATGTTGGTCTTCGGATACAGTTCAGTACACTTCTGAAATTTTTGCCGGATATTGAAACTACTGTTACTGGTATTTCATATTCGAAAGTTACAATTTGATTATTTCATTTCTAGTGGAGAATTGATAGGATTTCTAAAATATAAAACTTGATATATCAAGAGATATTCAAAAATCAATTCTTGCAGTGTGCCATCAGTCTGTACACACCTGGTGATCTGATGCTGGCTTGACATGGGATTCAGCACACTAAATCCGCATTTGATAGATGGCTGTGTATTCGACGGATAATGTTGTAGCTGGAGTACGAATGGTTGTTCCCTTCTTAATGAAAATAAATACCAGGCACCATACAAAAACTCGTAGATTGTACCATTTACATTGTGCATCAATATTTGTAGTCCTTGAGCGTCCTTCCGTGACCTACCTAATCCATTCCATTTTTCAGGGCAGACATGTGACACTAAAAACTCGGGTTAAGAAGCAGAAAGTTTGAGATCGGAATCTATCTTGTGTATTATTAATGTGTATCCCAGCTACTCAGATTAAATGCTTCCAGAGCCGAAGGCCATGCGGTATCGTGTCGCATTTCTTGAAAATACAACCTAGACGCCCAGACCCGGCATGAATCATGTGATTTTTAACCTTTCCTTTGCATTAACCGTGAAATTCTGGAGTTGTTCTGTTTCCAGGATTGAAAATCCGTAACGTAAGGGGAGAAGTCCAAAAAGAGATAAGGTAAGACTGGCTAATATGCCTGACAAGCCGCGTTGGAAGTCGCAGCAAGATTAACTAGCACCACATTTACCTCCACCAATTCAGCTGCGGTACCAGCTCAAAGAGAAATCGGCAAAAAAAAAAGTTGGGGCGCAAATTATGCTATGATGCAATTTATTCTCTTCTCTATCATCATCGAGAGGGGCCACCTTTAAGACCAGCTTGGGGTGTAACAACCTAGCGGCCCGGGCTTCTCAGATGGATAATGGATTTAAGATCCATAGACATAAGGTCTATCCACTGTACCAGCAGGCCATTCGGTCTTCGCGTTACAGACAGAACCTGCATTATTTAATTATATATACTCAAAACCTCGCTTAAGTTTGTGACTGGACCCATTTTTGCTTGATTCCGTACTGTTGGACCCGCTTTTACTTGATCCCGTACTGGCGTACTGCTTCACGACGAGTGATAAAATCTTGTATGTCGTCTTCACCTTCACGAAGGGGAGCAATTTTGGGAGTGGAAGCAAATACAAACCCTTCGACTGAAGCATTTAGTCAAGCGCCCGCAATTGTAAATATTCTTATCGAGTAAGTCATCACCAAAGCAGTAGCAAGAAAAACGTTGCCGAGTGAGAGACAGAGAAGAAGATTGCGAAGGCTAGTGAGCTGAAGATGTTCGATATTCCAAACTAATAAGTCATGGAGTGAAATCCTGGTTACTGGTGATTCTTCACTAGCTACATTTCTAGTGAGCAACTCCCCGCATGAAAAGGGTTTGGGGGAGAGGATGGGGCGCAAATAGAGATATCATATCTTTGTGGACAGGACTAATACCAGTACGATCCATGTTCTTGTATTGTGATTCCTAGTAATACGCCACTTTGATTGTAACTCTAGCTTCTTATTCCTTTTCTAAAACACTTTTGAACATCAGATGTTGTAAGTCATTGAATACTTTTTCCCGAAAGTCCTCAGCACATTGACCTGCAATTCTGGTCATCATTTTTCTAGGAATCACATCTAGTCATAGCGGTTTTCTTACAGAAAACTAGAGTCCTAGGACGGATTCTGGTTCATTATTATCATAAACGTAATGGTAGTAAACTTTTTCTTGAAGGTGGCTCCTTCCGCTCAAAATTGAACCTCCTCACTTGAATGTTCACAACGCCTCATCACCCATTTGGTACAATGATTTCCTGAGGATAAATTTTTCTTTGAGGCGGTATGTTACTATTGGTATCCACATAGTTTATGCCCTGTGATATCGCAGTTCCCGCTATGCTTTTAACTGTAATCGTAGCTTCAACCATTCCATTTTTATGTTTGTGCGACGTCCGACGGTCCCAGATCAATCCCCAGTAGTCGTTCATCTGCGGGCAGACTTTCGTTAACTTGCTCACTGTGAACATGACGTTAGCATTCGACCTGGGAATGGGTTTGTACATCTAAGTAACGGACTGAAGTTGTTTCGTCACGAGTGGGCTGTACTTACTGAGAGTATCAAATGACAGATCTGTAGCTCCAAAAAACACAGCAACATCGGCCATGTCTTGTATCTCATCCATTCTAAGTCCATAATTATGGGAGCCTTTCACAAAAAAACCAAGGTTCTTGAAAGCCATCCAAATCCTGCTTGAGTGAGTAGTGATGATTTTATATTACAGCTGCTTCTTTGCGTAATCACAACCCATAAAGCTCTGCACGTAAAGAGTTACCCAATGTTGTGATTGGTCTCCACCAATTGATGTATCGGGGTCATGTAGTATTTCATCGTCCCTGTCCATAAGATCACCAGAACTCTTGGCCAGATAGAGATTATTGATCACGGGGAATCTGTCTAGCATGGCGAGCCTGTTTAAGACAAAAGATTTAGGCGTATATGTACAGTTTGGATCTGCACCAGCCTCAGCTGCTCCTTTTGTCTCGACCACGATCCATCCTTAATTGAAAGCGCTTTTGCCTACATTCAAGTTTATTTCTGCACGGTGAAAGCACAATAAGCCTTGACAACTGACCAATTTCTGGGATATTGAGTAGAAATAACAGAGCTTGGGCTGTACCAGACGTTCGAAAGGGATGGGGTATGCTCGAACAATTTGGAGCCAGATGAAAGCGAATATGATTTGGAATAGGTCTCTACATCATTGATTTCTTTTTTTTGCTTTTTTGACTGTCTTTGGAGATGCGCAAGTGAATCTCGCGACTCTCACGATGTTGCAGATCTATGATCCGATTGTCTCGGGCTTCTTCCAGAACTGACACGCTAGCTCACCATCAACCGCAAAGACTATCCAGTAATACAGAGCATCAAATACTCTTTCTGATACCATAGATCGTACCTCCTCATATTCATCCTGCTCTTTAGCTTCGCTGGATCCCAGAATTTCCTCGATATAAACCGCTCTCGCCCATATAAAGTGCTTCTTAACATTTGCAAGTTCTGGATCATAGATTGTGGAGTCATCTCGTTCGAGAAGGGGATCGGGAGTTCGGTTTTCATGTCTTCTTTTCGCAATATTTTCTTTGAACAATAACGCAAACATAGAAATTTTCTCCAGAACCGCGTAATCTGGGAGACACCATGAAGCAGGCTGGCCCGGTGAAGAGAGAGGTGGATAAACATCTTCGTGATGTTTGAAAATCCACACGATAGGTTCGCTGGTCTCTATGGGCTTCTGTAAAATCTTGATCGCAATTAGACCCTTCTCTAATAGCCCTGTAGTGATAGAATTTATTATTGATAAAGCATCCATTTCATCATTATAATAGAATATTCAATACTTTAATACTATATTAAATAGAATGTTTTTAAGATATTAATCGAATTGATTTAAATCTCTATATTTTATAAAGCTTATTTTAATCAATAGGGTTTTGACAAATTTCTTGGATTTGAAAATTCAATTTTGAGTTTTAGTTTAAAGTAATTATCTTTATATAAAAAAGTTTATATGTTTTATAATTAGATTATATTTCTATTTATATTAGGGGCCTGCGAGCCCCCGGACCCCTTGCTTTTTGAGAAAGTATAGTATAATTATATTTATAATTATAAAAATTTAAAAAAAGAAATTTTATAAAAAGCTCACAAGCGAATTCGGTTTATCTTATATTATTACTTTTTCTCAGAATTCATTCAGATTTCAATTTCATTTAGATTTTACATTAGATCATCAACTATATCACTAAACTACGAAAGCCGTTGAAAGTATAATTCACGTGATGCTAGATTAGGGGGAGCTAGCCCTGATCAGTACTAGTGAGAGCTCTATCCTATATAGAGCTCTTCCCCTCAGAGTTAGATACACTATACTTAATATAAGATAGTCCTTCTTATACCCTTACTTTTTACCCTATGCTTCTCATCTTTTCCCTATAGAGAGTCATACTTAAAACAAAAGCTATGTTCATAATGAAGGAGCAGGCCAGTGGAATGCATGTAATATTGACTATGTAGATTAATTTTTCTAAGGTAAAATCTAACTATGAAGTGGAAGTGATATATGCACAGTAGCGTAGTGCACGTGCCACAACTTCCAACAAGCTAGTATATTAAGATAATTTTTATTAATAATCTACTTATAATATTCAATATAAACCCTACTACTTCTTTTAATTAATTATATAAGCTCTATCAAAATTTACATTATATAAACTTTAATCCTTAAAAAAAAACCCAGTTTTAAAGCTAGAATTATAAAAACTATATCATTTGAAAGCCTCTAGCTTTTTGTATATAGTTATCACTTTTTCTTTTCTTCAATTCATGTTAGCTTAAATAAACTCATTTCAAAAATTCTATAGCTAATTCAGAAGATTCTATATTCTAACACTATAATACCATAATATCAAAAACATTATAAAAGATTTATAACCAATTAGATAATGAGATTGTAAGTCATTTTAAGCCGACTATAAAACTCTATAATAAGTCTACTAAATTACTTATTAATATCTTACTGATTAAGAGGTATTTTGATAAATAGTATATATATAATATGATTTTGTATTAGACATTTTTATTATTATATAGTTATATAATAGTATCTTTTATTAAATTGATTTATAGTAGAATAGAATAGTATGGAATAATATAAAAAATTGTTAATAAAATGAACTAAATTGATTAGTATACTTACTTTTTATAATACAATATAGTTCTTTAAGATACAATTTAAATCGATCTTATTTATAAGCATAGAAACTACTAGAATTTCATTATGAACTATCTAAATCTAGGATATTCTTTAAAGAAAACCTAGGAAAAAGCAAGTAATTTTGCTTCAATTCAATATAGCTTTTATAAATTGATTTCAATTTAATTCTTATATTATATATTCGATTCATCCCTAAGCTTAAACTTTTTACCATTTTTCACTATTATTATAATAATAATATTCTCTTATTACTATTAAAGCCAACCTTTAAGATCACTCAGCTGCTTACTCATAGGATCTTTCGCAACAATATATAAAATGCTCATCGAAACTTTGAAAATTTGAAGAATGAGGTTTGCCTCCGAAGCTTGAAATCAGATTTTTGACTAGCTAAATAATAACAGGGTTGAAGGTTTGAAAGTATTACGGAGTTGAATTGAAGCCTTCAAGCTAAATCGTTAGTTTCCTACTAAAATTATCTAGCTCCCGGATCTTCTGGCTTTCCCGAGTATTTAAATCAATGCAACGTCTCTTCGAAAATGACAGATGGATTAGAACTTGGTTTTTCTATAATATTACAGTAGAATCACGAGATAAGATAAAATTCCACACGGCGAACAAGAATCATGGGAAACGTTGGCCAGCCCATCCCGACAAGCTGAGTGATTCACGTCGAATTAGACACAGAATTTTTGAGAGAAGATATGGGATGTCGTATTTCTCATGAAGAAGACGTCGAGGAGTCGATGCGAAGAAACACACGAGTACAGGGTAATACATGCACGTTAAAAAAGTATCGAGTCCTACTTGGAATCACGAGAAATAGACGGTCTGGATGTTTCATTCTCGAATCAGAAATTCTTATAAATTTGGTATATAATGAGCTACTAAATAAAATTCTATTTGAAAAGATAAAGAAGATTTCTCGTCCACCTGCCATATTTATGAAATATGTGCGATTAATCGAAAGAAAAAGCCACTGAACCGTTGAAAAATCCCACGGCTCCAAGTATATACAAAGGAATCGAATAAGTTGAAGGTATGTGAAACAATCTGAAAGAAATATACAAATATGAGGCAATGGATAACGTCTAGCTACATCTTCATGATATGTTGAGGCTCAAACATCGTCACCCTCGTCACTAGATCGGAATCTAGTTGGGATTGCACTGTGAGTACCAGATGCTATATGCAACACAAGTTGTGCCAGGGACGCAATTAGTGGCTCCAGTCCAGCCCTGTCCACCACATTGGTTCCACTCATTGACAAGCGGACCGCCAGTCGAAGTAGGGCTGGCGCTAGTTGTTGTTATGGTCGTGATAGTAGAGCCTGGAGTCGTTGTAGTAGCGGAAGTAGTAGTGGAAGTGATTGAAGATTTGCTGGTAATAGTGCTAGTAACAGTGCTAGTAACAGTGCTAGTAATAGTGCTAGTAATAGTGCTAGTCATAGTGCTAGTCATAGTGCTAGTTGTGACTGGTACGGTTACAGCTGGCTTTCCGAGATCCACGTTGACCGCATCGAGAAATCCGGCATTTGCGTAAAGTTGACTCATATCCCACATCATGACGCCGCCAAAACTGGAGAAACTCTTTGAATATGCGATGACGCTCGCAAGAGCGGCCCCAGAAGTGTACCCAGCTCCAGCTCCAGTGTTTGATGGTATGCCTAGCATGACTTTAACGTTAGGGTTTAGTGATACTGTCTTGGCCCAGTTGTCCCAAGTGTCAAAATTGAAGTTGTTCTGTGTTGAAACACCGGGGACGAATGATTGTACTCCGCAGTAATTGTTGTAGAATTGCACCCAGACGATATCGAAAGATACTGTTCCAGCAAGCATTGGTCCATCTGCGGCATCAGGGTAGGGACACTGTGGAGCAGCGGATAGAAGCCATGTTTTGTTTTTATCTGTATCCATCAACGAGCGGAGCTGATTTCCAAATGTAGGCATATTGGATACCGTGCTTTCGAAGTCAAAATCAAATCCATCAATTACAGCGGTTCCAAAAGGTCGAATGTCACCAGAGGTGTCAGGTCCAAACCACGACCAAAGGTTATTTGCAGCGGTTATGGCAGCTTGTGTGGATGTGAAACCGCCCTCGGTATAAGTGGCCCCGCCAACAGAAAGCAAAATTGTCTTGCCATATGTCTCCTGGCATGTGGTAATGTCGGCTCTAGATTGGATGTTAAGAGAAGGTGCTAAGTAAGGAGTTAAGAGTTTATACTTACTCGAGCTCTGAGCAGTAAAATAAAGTAGATCCTGAAATTACCGTGCATGGGTCTCCTTGGTTGGCAAAGTTGAGGACTGGCGTGTTGATAGAACTCAAAAATGCGAGGGGGATGATCTACGCGATTGATTAGAAAATTAGATAGGGACTTCTTTGAGAGTATGTCTGTACGTTGATTTCCGTATCTTTATCTTATTAGCTTTGTTAATATATGTCGTTCGGCTGAGGGAACTTACTTTGACAATAATATGAGAGCCGTTGCTGGACATAAGCTCCAGAGCCCTGTCCATATGAGTTTTGTCCTTTTCTGAGTTAATACAAAATCTACAAGTAATGCTAGAGACGTTCAGGCAAGCTCACCCCAATAAACGGCAACATTACTCTGCGAGGTCGGATCAAAGCCCGCAATCACAGAAGGAATACTGGCAATAATGCCCGCAAGAGGAGCGAGTGCAGAGAGCGACGGCATAATTGAAGAAATTGTTGAAGTTCGGTTGTGACTGTGAGTCTAGAATGAACTGAGTGGATCTTGAGAGTTTCGAAAAGTCCAGCTATCGAAAGTGTCTACTTTGAGTGAAGTCTCGTTGTTTATTGGAACCACTCTTTGGATGGTAGACTCGACCTTCTTATACTTACTTTTGTTATTTTCACAACCAACACTCAGGCGATTACATAGCAGTGCATTTGTGGCTCCTCTCAAGGTGGCCACACGTTACTCAGATAATTGAGTTTAACAAACAGCAACATCTCAATCAGGTTGCAATCAAATAACAACTTTACATTGAGTTCTTGGAGGTAAGAGGTCAAACGACGATATTGACAATTTCCCAAAACTGGGATTCCCACATTCCAACCATTGACGCCCACGTTCATTCCTCACGGAGGTAAGGGGTTGTTAGAATGACTTCTCGATAAGGAATTCAATATCCGCGAGGGCCTACTTAGTATCTACTTTCGACTGAAAATGTGATATAACACTCTCCTCGGGAACAAGAAACAGTTCCAAGAATCATCACGGGCGCGGAATTTGAGGAAATTAAGGACTCAAATCCTGATGGATGGTGATTAAGTCGCATGTGAGAGACATCTGGAATTACCTTTCCCCGGCACATGCAAAACATTGAATATCAAAATATGGAAGGTGGGTGATAAAATGCCCGGTCGATCGTCAGGGGTACAAGATTGCCGATAAGCCACTTGGTGGGATGAAGGAAAAAGTGGATTTACCCCAGCGGTTAGGAGAAAACGACTTCAGCTTGAGGGGCTTCAATGAAACGAATGATGAAAAAGCTTATTGTAACGTTACTCGGTGACCTGATCAGGCATTCTGTGTACACTCGAGTCGGCGCTGGACAAGATTTCAGAATATGTGTCAAATGTTTCAATCCGTCCATTTCGGTCAGAAGACTTCTGCCGAAGGAATGAATGATCAATTTTACCCACAGGTCTTTGCGATAAGCAGATAAGGAAATGTGTACACAGTTCGCGTGGAACAAGAAACTTTGGCTGCTTCCTAGTAATGCTTCGTCATATCCGTGCTCCACGAGATTATATCTTTCCATCGTGATGAATCTTGATAGTCAGGCGTGTCTAGTAACCTTCCATTGCAACCCCAGCGGATGGGAAATGAGGTACCAACGACCTTAGGAAGAACTTCGGCATTAATTCGGACGCTAACCATTTTCGAGATATCGACATCCTCCTATATTTTGCAGCCAACGATGCGTACCTAAGTCTTTGGGGCTTGAAGTGGAAGCGAAATCTAACCACAGAGTCCAAGAGGTGGAGAGTGCTTTTGGTAAGGATAATCTTTGGCGTGGTCGGTATTTGAAAAGACATGTCGCAAATACCAGCATCAGATGAGCTTGTACCCCATAAGGTTAATGTTTAAGATCGACGCGTCACTCCTCCACGTGAGATGAGAAGCTGCACTTACACACAAATACTGCTGATGCAACAGCGTCCGTGAAATCAAAAGCCGAGTATTTGACTGCTCAATACTGCCGGTGTATGCATCGAAGTTTGACCCTTGTGAAAGCTTTCGCAGACGGCCATTCTGGTCAAGCTTGATGAGAGATTGTATGCCTCAATTGTATGGCCTCAAATTCTGGAACATGCATTATGTAACCACCGATCGGTCCTGGTGGTCTGAATATGAGACACGGCGGCAATTCAACAAGCTTGGAATCTTGGATGTAAATGTCCTAAGTTTGTGAGGATACCAAACTTATTAGAGTTTGAAGACAAGCTCGCGAGTGACACGAAAAATGGCACACGTGTCCTTTTAACCTCAATTCACGTCAATTACCACAACTTCAAAATTAATTATTAAATCACAACATAATGGTATCAACTCGCCGCGATCGCTATGAGGATAAAACGTATCCCCAACAGCATAATAGAACCCCTGTTAAAGCTAAAACCCAGGCTATGCTTGATGGAATAGCTGATGGAATTGTCACTACTTTCAAAGCTCGAGTATTCAGGGCCTACAATGTCGCACCTCGCACCGGATATCGACATTGGCATGATCGCGATCCAAGGCGTCTACATGATTCTACAGTACGTAAAGAGACTAGAGGAGCAAAAAAAACCCTTACTCCTCGCGATATACGTGCTATGGAGATCATGATCCAAACGGAGGGTTTTGAGGCTAGATCCCTCAATTGGAAGCAATTGGGAGAGGCATGTGGATTAGACCAATCCGGAAGGACTATTGCACGAGCTATGGGATCTATGGGATATCGAAAATGTATAGCTTGTTGCAAGGGATGGGTTACACAGAGAACAGCTGCCGCTAGACTCCAATTTGCCCGCGATATGCTAGCTAAATACCCTAATCCGGAGGATTGGAGAAGAGTTAGGTTCTCTGATGAGTGTCATTGGGGTTTCGGGCCTGAGGGAAAGTATAGGATCATTAGAAAGCTAGGCCAGAGGCTCTGTCCTGAGTGTATTCAGCTCAGAGGGGTAGAAAAGGAGGAACACCGCAATAAGCAACACTGCTGGGCGGCAGTGGGCTACAACTTTAAGAGCAATCTTATATATTACGATGTTCCTGGGAACCGGAATGGCAAGTTGTCCCATAAGGTTTATGTCGATACTATATTGGATGGGGAGGTAAAGCGATGGTTAGCTGTATCGAAGGATTTCGTACTCGAGGAAGATGGTGATTCAGGACACGGCTATGGGGGCAAGAAGGACAATATAGTGAAGAAATGGAAGAGAGATCATAGTTTAGAAACCTATCAAAACTGTCATGATAGTCCTGATCTCTCAATCATCGAAAATATCTGGCAAATCCCAAAACAAGTCGTTCGGAGGCATGCCCATTGGGACGATACAACCATGCGGGAGCTTATAAATGAGGGTTGGGAGCAAGTTACTATTGAACATATCAATAAACTAGTAGATACTATGCCTCAGAGGCTTAGGGATGTTATTAAAATGAAAGGACAGCTCACTGGGTGGTGAAAAGGTGGTCAAAAGGGTGGTTTTTAGAGTGGTTTCCCCCTCGAAACAACTCACTTTCAGAGGGAATTGAACCACAACACTACCTTATATCAATTATATAATTATATCACTCAAAACAGTACCCTATATAGCATCGATATTAATTTTTTTATCTTATACTGAATCTTAAAGCTCTGAATATAGCGAATTTAAAAGTCTCTGTCAATGGAAGCGAGTCGATCTTCCGTAATGAATTATTCTACGAATATTGCACTTAGAATCATAAAACTTATATAGAATTAATCTCTGATATCGAATTAATAAAACTACCATATTATTCTTATTATAAATATAAAAAGTGGTGGTGTTGAATCAATTGAAAGAGAGGTGTTGTTCCATTGAATGAGAATTACGAATTTGTGTGTGCCATTTTTCCTGTCACCCGCGAGACAAGCTACGCTCTAGTACCCTGTGATTCATGACTAAGCAAGCTTACCTCATCGCTACACTCAATTTAATAACGTGTTTCCCCCCAAAAAAGCACTTTTTCGAATATCACCTAGTCGAATTTTTGAAATCGGAAAATCCAATTCAATTAATATAGTTTCAAATTGAAAAAATTTTGTATTATAATATAGATCTTAATTGATAGAATTTATAAATAAAGTTTGAATAGAATTGATCAAAAATTTATGGAATTGGAGGTAATTGAATGAAATTATGATTTTTGAAATAGTTTTTAGGTTTTTGAATTTTCGAAATTCAATTTTCATTTAATTATTTTCAATTCAATGAATTTTTGATTAAAAGTATTCAAATTTTATTTGTTGATTTTATCAATTGAGATTTATATTATAATATAGAGTTTTTTCAATTTGAAGTTATATTGATCGAATTGAAAGTAATTTAATTATTTTAATATAGGATTCAGCAAAAAGTTGATTAGATCAAAAAAAGTCACGTTTTGGAAACACGTTATTAAATCGAGTATAAACTCAAACCTCACGTCCATCAACTTGACTCGAAACATGTGTTATTTGACAACGTTCGGGAGCTAAGGTTACGACATTAACTAATCTTTCGTAGGATGGGCGTTTTCCTCATTCGCTTGGATATATCACCCTCAAAATTTTGCAGGCATGTTATGTTATGATCATCGCGCCTTCCTCCCCAAATAACTAGCCCTGTCAGCGTCCCATGTATGGTGAATGAGAGAAGGGCGACACAATAACACTCATGATCCCTGACTAACCTCCAGCACCAAGATAGATACGGTCGAATGGAGTGTCTACTTACTGTCAGTATCGGTTTCATCGTTGCAGATATCCCTAATCGAGCTTTCTTTCATTCCTAAGAATTTTCCCATGTTGATCATCTCTGCCTTTTCCGTATCTTCCACCACCTTCTCACAATTCTTGGCGCCTTTCAGTCTGAATCCTATACGTCTAACTGCTCTGAATGCCTCCCAGTTATTTAGATCCTTGACTCTGTCGTATCCGTCCAGCTTTTGGGCGAACCTGGAACGCATAAATCTTGTAAAGTAAACACCGACATAGTGGTAGGAAGCTTTCCGGAAGTTGGTATTCTGAGGATCGTACACGAGACGCTGTTCACCATCTTCACAGGGTAAGAGACTGTGATCAAGGAGATGTAAGATGACTGGACATTTTTTGCACAGACTTTTCCACGGAAATCTAACCCAGTTATTGTTCATACCTGGTTGGTAAGCCAAAGGCTTCATAGGATCTTCGTCTTTTGCTAGGAGGGTGATATGCGTGCACGCTGCTCTATCTTGGCCATCGTTTCTAGTAATGCGATCCATTGGTATGTGATTGGTGGAGATCAAACTACAGAATTGAAATCGCACTTACACACTGCCATCCGGCTGATAGACACTCGTCCCTGGAGTCATCGGAAACATAGAAGAAAACTTAGGGTCCGTTCGGATCGATTTCTTATTTAATTAATGAAATCTCTAATAATAATAAAACGACAAGGATAATTAAATTATTAAAATTAATATATATTAAATATATTTGATTGAGATTAACATATTTGGAATAATATTGGAATATACGAAATTGAGTTGAAAATAAAGAAAATAATACTTTTTCTCAAATACGTTTGTTCAATTATATTTCAAAAACTATTATTAGTTTATTATATAAGAAAGGTTGAGAAAATTTGTTGTATTTATTATTTTAAGATTATTAGACTCAATATTTTATTAACTCAAATATTATATTCACTTCGAAATATTTCAGCTATATATTAAATCTAATATAATCTAATATATATTAAGCTCAATATTACATTCGGTAAATACAATATTGGGCTAATATTTCTAATATATTAGTATAATATCCAAAAAAAAATCGATCCGAACGGGCCCTTAGTGGGAGCATCTTTTTCGAAAGTTTGAGCGTCATTTGACGCCGCAATTACACATTCAATCTTTAAGAAGCAGTTCCGGACTTGTTCGAGCAGTGACTCAGAAATGCTTCATCGCTCCGAAGGTATAACAGCTGAACGGCTTCGCTAACTTGCTGATTCAAATTTATAAACGCACCAAGAACATCTTCACCGGCTGGTGGAGCCATTGCGGCCAATTGTGAGGTGAAAACTTTTTTTACGTCGCCCTGGCGCAAGATTACTGTTTCGTTGTAGGAATGAAAATGGTTGACGATCTCGATTGAACTTTGCGTGTAATGATTAAATAATGCGAGAATGAAAAAAGACGCACAGTATGGAGTGAATTTTTCAACTTGCAAATACCTTTGGGAAGGTAAACAGCTTCCCACACTGCAAGCATTAGGATAGGAAGAGAAAGTTTGAAGAATAATCTTCGGTTTGTTCGGTGTTGATTCAGGATTATTAGCAGCTGAAGACCCCATTTCTGTTGTAGACTTCTGGCTTGATTAGCCGATACTTCTGATGTAGAGACCGTTTTATAAGACTTTTACTGTCGTTAGACTTAAATCCATTGATAGTCGATATCTCAGTCTAAATTTTACTGCTGGTATGATGAAATAGTGGCGAGAAGGAAGGGTTATTCTGTATCTATAACTACCTAGGTACTATTGGTCTTAAAATTTCTATGGTATCATTTGCACTTCTCTACCTTGAAGACTTGTTATAAACTAATTCTTCAATCTTTTGACACCAAAACTCATACTTTTCATTGTTCAATTCTCAATCAATCATTAAAACAAGTTTCAAGATATCAGGATATCGAGACTGAGTTTGTAAGAGATATCGCCAAACCAGTTTGTGCAGTATCCCTTCAGTCTCTGCACCCACTAGTGGATCGTGCTTGGTGGAACTTGTGTTGTGATCTCAAGTCTACTGCTCCATAGTGCTGCCAAAATTTTCAACAACCTCGTGTGTCCCTCTCGGCTTCATCTGTATAATCTAAAGCTTATCAGAAAATAAGAGTAGAATTAACTGTAAATGCCATGCCGGCCACTTTATTCTCTGGAGCTTTCTTGAATGGAACAGGAATGAGGTACAGATTATGGCGGGGGTGGTACTATATGATTGTAGTTACCGCTCATGCTTTATGATCGGTTGACACAGTGGTTTGGGGTGTTCAGTCCCATTCTTCTGAGAAGCCCCATCTACGGAGTTGTAGCGGCTTCGGTGAAAAAAGCACACTGCAAAAATAGAGCTACGTATTGTCGAACCAGAAATAAACAAAAAGACCAAAAATAAACCTCAGTCTACGGACTTCAAATCAGAAGTCCAATCCTTCTCAAACACCTTTTTGTTTTGCGAACTTACCTTTGGACTTGGGATTTTTTTTTCTTCTCATTTTTTTAATGTTGACACAACTGCACAGTCCCAATTTTGCAGCCGGTGCCTGCTCCCAAGCAATATTTTTAGGCACTAAAGCATTAGTTGGGGTTGACAGAAGCCCATATTAGCGACAATTTTGTGAGGCTTCAATATTCTGCGGGGACAAGGGTGGCTGATGTATTGTGCCCAGACTTAGGATCCACCTGAGAAACAATTCAATACATTGTAACCTAGGGCAGGTGCAATAAGTGATCGAAGAGAGATAAGACGTAGTATTCTTTCGGAAATCTTTCAATACGCGGACATATATCTTCAATACGCGGACATATATCTTTACTGCGGCACAAAATTTGTGTTTTCGAGGCTGACCTCTTCAAATAAGAACAGAAGACATTTTAACACTTCTTGATTCCTTTCACTTTCACCAAGACCTGCACTGGAAGTGCCACAAGACAACCAGAAAGTTATGTGACACACAAGCAAGCATTTCATTTGGGCCTCGAGTGTATTTTCCACGAGAAATTCCGCAGATATTTTTCTCTCAAGGACTGACCACTTTGATCCAGGGATTACAAGCCAAAACTCGATGATATACTAGCATACCCTCAAAGTTAGCAAAATGAGGGTGCCATCCCGAATCATGGTTTTAGTGGGAGGTCAAATACATCAAATGATGGCATAAGATCGCTAAATTCACAAAACAAACAGGCTGTCAGATCTTGAAGAGCATGCCGCAGATCAGCGAAGGGGTTTAGTGTGTCAGAAAATCAGTAGCGAGGGTATCTATACAAATTGTGTGACTCAATCACCGAAACTTTGGCGTTGAGAAGGGGGATACGACTCGCTTTGGCTGCAGAGCGGGGGTATGGAATGCGATTATCTGACCAGAAGCTGCGGGGCTACACGGCTCCTGCTAGTCATTTTTGACGAGTGTTTAGCCATAATTGCACAAGGCTCGGTCGAAATTAACCCCAAAGACAAAGGTCATTGATTCAAGCTGGATAACATTCCCCAAAAACGTCACGGGCTTCAATATCAAGAGAGATATCATAATGACAATGATACTTTAGTTTCATCCATTACTCTTGTTCGTTATTCTTACATATTATTCTTCGAGCTCATGGGTCAGATCTCCCGCATCCATTGCATTAAGCTCAGCATTACTCATACTTGGGCAGGACAAGTAATGTGCAGAGATCGCCGAGACCCTCACTGCGGGCTACCATAATTTCTCTTCGGGGATATTGTGTACCCTAATGGAAGTACGCAATAACTTAAAATTTCGAAAATGGGAGGGCGGTGGGATGTTGCGGTTCTGAAGCGCGGATCACGAGCAAAAGAACTTGTGGGACATACTACTAGTTTTCCCGCAGTCTAAATGAATTTAAGATTCAAAACGAGTGGTCACCTACCGGGCATCTCTTCTCCGTTGTGTGAGATCACCGCATCATGCGTGATTATAATTCTTCGTTATTGTCTACTCCGCGTCTTAAAAGTAGGCCTTACCCCGCTTTCAGACTCAGGGATCTGGTACAAATAATGGAAACCACATAGGAATTGATTTTCTTATATTGATTGCTATCAAGCTGCTTCCGCTGAGAGATTTGAGCCCACAAATCGTAAGGATAGACCTCCGCATTGGAAATAGATCGTGGACAGGGCACAATCGAATGGGACGATATCTCGCTTGTCATTGATACCTGAGGCATCATTATGCGAAGCGACCTCGCGACCAACAGAAAAAACCGAATACCAACCCTGTAAAATAAACAAAAATTTGAAAATAATTCTTTTTCAAAATTTAATATTAATTTAATCTTATATTTTAAATCTTTTTGATTTAATATATAGAGATTATAAATTAATAAATAAATATTATTAAGGATTTGAAAAGATTATATTGAATTGTTATTTATATATCAAATTTTAATTGAGATAAAGATTTTTAGTGTTCGGGTTTTTCTGTCGATCGCGAGGCGATGTGCTCGACAAGATTAGAACCTAGGTACCTAGGTAAGATCTTACATTAAGCGGAGAGAACTAGAATAACTCTTGATACCTAGTTAATGTCTTTTTGATTCTAGAACACATAGAGAGTCACTCGAAATTATTATAATACAATTTATGATAGTATTATTATATTCCACGACTACGAAGTCTCTTATGATCGAGACTCGTTTGTAATCGTAGAGTCTTCGAAGCTTCGAATCGTAGTTCAATAATAAAGATTACCAAATTCGCAAATCAATTACAGCATTCGAATAATTTGAAATGTCATATTTTGTTGATTGAAATGTTATACTATCTTCAGATTCCTAAATACTATTAGATATTCAATTCTTTGTATTATAATATAATAGTCCAGACTATTACAATATTTACAATTTCTCTAAAATATTCAAATAGTACCTACACACTATACGATCGAGCACTTCACTCTGTAAATCCCAATAGTGAAGCTAGGGATTTTGAGTTTATGAATTATTAATTGTATACTAGTATCCAAGAGACTAAATAAAGGAAATAGATTATAGACATACAGTGCCTGCGCATTTCACCGCCCCGGGGAATGACAAAAAATATATAATATGAAGCCGAAGACCTCGTGTTCTGAGATTATCGAAGGAGCGAATCTTCGTGTGCCGTTTCTTTGGTCCTCTCTGAAACATAGGCAAGACTAGGTAGACACATATAATCTTGGGTGGCGCAAGTTGCAACTAAAGCTGCAGTGGTAGATCATATTTGCCTGATTCGGTTCTCTTAACCCAGGGAACCCTAAACGTTTTCTGGAAGGGGAAAGAGAAATAAGGATCCCCAGTTTGGTATTGCAGACTCAAGGATACTTTCTATATACACGTCACTTACATCAATTCCCAGATTCGCGGCTGAGGACCCACAAACATGTTCAATTTTGAGTTGAAGTTATAAAGGAGTACTTCAAGTAGCCAGGAAAATTGGACTTTATCACCTTTAGAGGGAATATGGTCTGCAGTTAATAGTAACAGTATTCAATATTTGTAGATGCATGATAGTGCATTGAAAATTGTATTGCTCCACTTATATGTGGAAAAACCATGCCATAGCGTTCCTCTATTTATAGCTGGGTTTAAACTTATCGAGGTGCTTACAGGTCCCGATCTTGATAAAAATGTCCGTCTAACCTCCCAGTTACCTGCGATATTGCTCGACATGGTATCAATTCAATCGGCCTCCTTCATTGAGCCGGCAGCCAAAACACTCTAGCCGAGGGTGATTCGGCCACGAGAGTATTTCCGCGTCTTGCTCTCTTTTGTTTCGGTCAATTCGTATCGAACGCCTCCAGGACCGTTGATGGTTTCGAAAGAGAATGACTTCAGAGTTGCGTTGTGGAAACAATTTGTGAATGGATATACAGAGGCTTCTACAATAAATCAAGTTAGCTGAGTTTTGTTGGCAGGCGAGGAGTCAAAACAGGGCGATTTAGGGTGATCCGGTTTGAAATAGTCGCCAAAACCAAGTATGTGCACCCGTTGAAGCTTCCATAAATGAAAGAATTTTGGTTCATCTAGGAAGATTTTAGTTCGAGAATATAAAATGAAAAACTTACTACCACCTAATTCTGCCTCTAACAGTGTCTCTAGAAACCCGGCATGAGATACAATTGCTATCTCGTATGGCACATAGTATGAGCCACTTACCGAAAGGTCGCCGTCTCTGACATCAGAAATCAAGCCACGACGAGTCAACTCTTGCACATTCCTAGCGATCTTGAAAAGTGATTCCTTGACCTTAGCAGCCCGGGATAAATCTATATCTTTGCTGTATTCCCATTCAGGCTTGATGAAGCTGAAGTCTATTTGGTGTCCAAACATCTCCTGAAGCTTCGCTAGTGAAGTGCCTGTGTGACAGGGACTAGATCCCCATTCTGTTTAAACAAAAATCAGTCAAGTTTCCGAAAACAATTGAAAATGCATATTTCCATACCACGAAGTGCATCCCAGGCCTGAATTTGGTTAGCTGGCTTATCCAGCAAAAACTTCATTACATCTCTAAATGTAATCATGGCTGTTTCAATTGTGCGGGTCATTGGGGAGCAATAGATCTGCTTGATATTGCGATTGGAGTTGAGAACAGTTCTGACTAGTTCGCACTGTCGTATGCCATCGAATGTGAGCTTTGGATCACGAAGCAGGCGACGTATTTCAAGTTCTCCGACGTTGGAATGTGCCTATGAAGTAGTGGTTAGCCTTGATTCTGGATCCTTATATTATGGAACTCACTTGTCCATGTCTCATAAAATGGAATATCATGAGACGATCGGCGCGACCTTCTCTCGGTGGACTAGCGTGTCCTTCGAAATCATCTGTTAAAAGGGTAGATAATCGTGGAGGCATCCATCTAGATAGTTTTTCGTCTACATGAGACGATTCAGTTGTAGTATTCGAATTCATGGCTTGTGTAGTATAAATGTATTCTTCGTGGCTTAAAATTCCAATGTAAATAATGACAGGGGAAGCAATGGAATAAAGGATTATTCTCGACTTTATTGATTACTGAAATATATGTAAAGGTTCTGAAATCATGCAAAGCCTAAAGACCCGAGAAAGAAGTTGTGTTTTTATGTTGATTACTAGAATAAAGTTGGATGGCCTTAAATGAACATGTAGGTTAGTACAGCAGACTCTTAGCGTCGCTCGCTTATCATGGTTTCTGTATTGATGGAAGAGCATTGGATACCTAGCTAGAGTATCATTCACAAAAAATAGAAGTGATTAAAATGAATACACTGAACTTCAGAGACAAACAACGCTGAGAATCTAATTGAATGGCAGGAGCTTTATTGGTCTGGTATCTTTGGGGTAATGAACTTCTGCAGAAAACGCGAAATGCTCACCGAAAGACACTTTCGAAAATTGCTTGAAAGTGTACAAGGCCAGAAAATCTACGGAGCAAAAAATACTTGTACTGGAGAGAAGTGATTCCCTTAATATTTTTTTCAGATGTGGAAGCAATTCTATGAGTACTTACTGCGTACAAAGTTTTACTGACAGAAAGGTATGATGTATAAGAACCGAGATGAACCTTCTCATGAGTGACAAGTAAGCTCTCAACTGGTGATATGCGAAGTTCCATGCGTGACAAAACCTAAGCATCCTAGTTCAAAGGGCGTAAGATGAATTGGTATAAAACAAAAAGGCGATAGTTGTCCATAGTTCCTTTCATTTAGTTTGATCATGACGGGCTTAAAGCAAACACACTGTAACCTTGCTCACACTCAGTTTTATACATTCGGAAGAGGGAAATAATGATTTCATGACGCAGAAGCGGACACAGGTGGCAAGGGCAACGATAATTATAGGAATAATTCAGATCGCACTCTCAGGGAGGACTGACGTTTGATCCTACCCTATCACTGGCTACCTGAAGTATGGAAGAATGGGGAACACAGCTGATTCAATATTCAAGAGATAAGGTGTTTTTTGTGATTAGTTGAGACTGTTGAGTGCTGAGATCTCAATGTAGCTGAACAAACAAGATTGTTATTTCTATATTTTCACACAACGTTTGACTCGTAGGGGTTGATCGTTAGTTAATAAATTCTCGCATTATGCATACAATATCAAGAGGACTGACATAATTTGGTAAGCAATTCATTGATATCATAGATTAGATTGTGCCTATGTACACGGAAGCAGGAACGAATGGCTTCCTTCTTATAATCACACTGGAGAAAAGAACCATTGTTCATAGAGTATCCCAATACCATGCTGCTGATATGCCAAATAGTAGGAACTTAACATTCGGCGAAGTTAACATTGTTATCTCCACTGCTTGAAATCTCTTCAGCTCAGAGAATCAAGTCATAATCTCCACCACCAATTCTCGCTACATCAAGAGAGAGACCGTTTAAAGCCGACATCAACGCTTGTTCATCCCTAGTTTGTCTCTCTCTGAGCCTTGCAGTGCGCGCCTGGTATTCTTGTTGATACGCCGTCTCCCAATCTGCAAGGTTTAGTCCATGGCCATAGACATCCACTTTCTCGTCCGCATTTGATCTGGCAGCTTTATCGGCAACGACAAGCGCATTTGTGTCCCCAAGCTTGCGACGTTCCATCAGATATTCCATGTGGTCGATTTTTCCCTCCTTCGGCCTTCTGGTCTTACGCTTCTTGACAGCACCTTCCGAAGGCTTAGCTTTAGCGTTAGCGCCACCATTATTCTTGTTCTTTTCTTTCTTTGATTTTGTATTGGGCGCGTTTACAACGCTCTTGTTTGTTTCCTTCCGTTCGCGTTTCTTCTCAGCAGAATCCTCGCGTCTCACTCTGGAAGCATCGCTTTCCGGAAGGCGTCGCGAAGTCTTCCGATTATTTGGTAATCTTGGTCCTATAAAGACTTCACCTTGGCTTGCGATTTTTTTGCTTTTATTGATAGCTTTGTCGGTGGCTGATTGAAGTGCTCGAATGGTGGGTTGTAACATGCGCGCCATTTCAGCTTGCTGATGAATCTGGCCAGTGTTGATAGATGTGTGTTGTTTGCGCTTCGTGTTGCGATTGTTCAAATTGTTTATGATTCCGCTGACAGGATGATCGAGACCTGACATGTCAACATCATCATTCGTATTATTGTTTCCTGATCTGGCTGTCAGTTAAATGAAAACACAGATTTTATCAAAGTGCTCTCTCACCTGGGGAGTCTTTAGAAACTTTGAGGGTTTGCAAGTTGATCTTGAGAGAAGCAGTCTGAATTCTGTTGTTGTTTGGGTCGCGGTCGGCATACTCTGCTTGTATCTGAACAGAGCTACCTTCCATGTTCTGAAAAGGGAACATAGAAGAGGGAAATTGTTTCGCAAACATATCCATGATTATGTCCTAAGTGGTTGCATGAGATGGTGGATAAATCTTGGATGCGTACGGTTGATGGCAAAGCAAGAAACAATTGAAAGGTCTGTTTTACTCATGATTTGTTTCTTGTACGATGGCTCGCTTAAGCAAGCAACGGCAGCAAAACTTCCGCTGCCATTCACTTTCCACGTTTTTGATACTGAGGACTTCGTGGCAAGATATGAAAACTAAACTGCAAACCTAATGAGTTCTTATCATAAGTGTAGTTCTCTCTTGTTATTAAGAGTTTGTCGATGGTGTTGCATTTGGGGGATCACTGCCAGGTGCTCCAAATTTCATGGCAGTCATCGATAAGCAAACTCTCTTTTTGATCCAGTTGATCTAGAAGTTTATACCGCTTTTTCCATTCTCCATTATGGCATTTGTTCAAAGACGAGAGATGAAAAATCATTTCACTTTTCTCACGTGACTACATGTCCCCCTACAGTTTGTGATGATTCCTCTGCTTGATGAACTCCACGACACTTCGGCCTTTCAAGGGAAAATGCCGGTCAATGTATCCATGCCAATAGATATGATTTCAACATACTTCGATTTTATAGTCTTGACCAACCCTCGCCAGCGCGTAGGAATGAACTGTGCTAGGTATTTCCAGAAACATTTTGGAAAAGGTTCAATCACCCTCAACAGAGAGCTTTCATGTGAACGATAGAATTACAAGGTTGTGTGAATGATGATCCTACACCATCACGGAGTCAAAACTGACAGCAGTAGCACCTAGTATAAATGAGGAATTACTCGATGTTGATTCTATGTAGTCAGGATAAGCTATGATATGTATTAGCTCCAATCTTGTCTAATCTTTTGGTTTGCAACAAGATAAGCCTGTGAAAATACCAATGCATCATGAACACACCAAACACTCAATTGGGGTACTAACATAGGAAGTGGAAATGATTTGAAGTTTCAATCAATTTCAGGATTCCAAATGAATTCATTGGATTGGTTTAGACATTTGATAATCTTCATTGTTGAACTACAGTCAGTGTAGGCAATAGTATACTACAGTGAAACTGTAGCGCGTATTAGCATATTGATATTACAGCTAGTACATATAGAAAGGAGATTATACCACTCTCGTACATATTCATATACCTAAAGAATACTAGCAATATACTGAAATATTGGAATCCAATATAAAACATACATTCCCTATCCAAATTAGGCTAGAAATAAGGGATTCCTATTCAATTTGAAATAAGGAATGGAATTTTATTACCTAATATGAATAGGAATTCCTTATTTCTAGCCTAATTTGGATAGGGAATATATATTTTATATTGGATTCCAGTATTTCAGTATATTGCTAATAATATTGAATAACTAAATGATATTGAATACTTTCAATGATATCGAATTCCATACCACATATGTATATATTTCGAAAAAAACTCTATACACACCACTATCTAACCCGTATACGGATTACGGGAAATACTATTGCCTACACTGACTACAGTACAGACGATTGGATACTCTGAATACGATGCGAGGTTAGCGTAGAAGATTTGTGGGGAGTGCATGGACCACAGTATCCTATTGCACAGGGAAGCGAAGTCAGCCTTCTCAAGAGGGACCTGCACACGCTCGAAAAGCGTATTGTATAACAGAAGTAATCTAGATCACTTCCTTGAGACGGAATTAGATGGAGATAAGGGAGTCTCTTTGTGGAGATATACTCTAAGTCCGGGGCTCGCTGTGAGATGTTAAGCGGTTGCCTCAGCTTTGTTTGACCTGATTGATCTAAATTCGCACATATATATGTATCCAGTGGATGATCCATCTCCTATTGTACACATCAGATTCCTACTTTCTCCCATCTAAATATCTTTCCATCAAAATAAAAAATCGCTTGAACAATCATGCGTAAAAGTCAACGCATCTTCATGACCGGGGCCACTGGCTATATCGGGTCCGTCATTACCGAACTTGCCATTGCAGAAGGCTACGAAGTCCATGGACTTTCTCGATCTGAGTCTGGAGACGCCAAGCTACTTCAAGCCAAGGCAATTCCGGTTCGAGGCGATCTTACCAGCCTCGATATTCTCCGTCGCGAAAGTTCCGAAGCAGATATTGTTATTCATCTTGCGACAGCTTATCATATCACCAATGCCAGCGCGGGCTATGATGCTGTTTGGCCAATTGATAAGGCGGCAGTGGAAGCTATCGCAGATGGATTGGATGGTTCCAATAAGCCACTTGTTGTAACAGGGGGTACACTGTTTGTCTCGCCAGATCCAGATGGTGGCGAGACTACGGAGACTTCTCCAGAAGATCCGGAACCTCTCAATACTCGTCATCAAGCTGAAGCTCATGCTCTCAAGCTGGCAATGAGGGGAATCAGGGTCGTCGCCATACGCTTGGCACCGTGGGTATTTGGAAGAGGTGGAAGTGGAGTCAAAATATTCATGGATGTCTCCAAGCAGGCTGGAGAAGTGACGTGTGTTGATGGAGGCAATAATTGCACGACCACTGTTGATGTTGATGATGCTGCAAGACTTTATTTGCTGGCTGCCCAAAATTCAAAATCGGGAGAAGTGTTCAATGCTAGCTCGGCTACTAATGTTACCTTCCTGGAAATGTGGGAAACTATGGCCACGGCCTTAAATGTGCCATTGAAACAACGTTCGACAGAGGAAGCCATAGCTAAGTTAGGTCCGTTTCTGACAAAGTTCATCTCGGTAGAGAATAGGGCAACGGGAGCGAAAGCTAGAGATGTTTTGGGCTGGAAGCCCACCGGAATTAGTATATTAAAGGAGATTAGTTCGACCGCTTCTCAAGGCTAGAATATCCATTGGCTTCCCCGAGATACTGCAATTGAACAAGTTTTTTGAGTTTCTTCTAGCGATAAATCAATTTGTTTTGAGGTTCAGTAGTGTACAAAAGCTGAGGGGTAGTGAGTGACAGAGTTTATAGAAGAACATTGATGGCGAAATTAGGCTCCAGTGTCTTGACAGTCTAAAACTACCCAACATTCGGTATTTCCACCATTCTAGGTGCCACGCAGCGTAAGCTAGTCCTCAGAATTATTACTGGGCAGCTCTCTAAAGATTGACGTTTGTTTAAACTGTTTCCATGAGTCTTTATCAAACCGGTCCAGTTTCTATCGCATCTGCTTGTGAGCTGTTTGATTCCATGCACAGAGACTTAATGACACATAGCACTTTTAGACGGTGATGCGGCATCTGCTATATGAAGCAAACTTCAAATATCAATACTGTCTAGATATTAGCCATTTAATTCCAGTAAACGCATAATATTGACATTAAGTATAAGCGTTCTCTCATTCTCCTCTAGCTCTACCCTGATTTCAAAGTATAAGCTAACCTTTAATTAACATCTCATCTCTACTCCAAAAGAATTTCATAGAAAATTTCTCATCCAGTCGGTTTATTTCGAAACTAGTCCACCAAATCTGATATTCTGTGCACATTCGATAGAACTCGTGATCCGAGTTTCTACTACAGCACTAATTCCGCTCCGTTTTCTACAGATTTGAAACATATCCAAGATTGTGAATGCTGACTATTGGAGAAAAGCTTCGAGGCTGAGAACAAACATATTCTCTTGACTGCAAATAGGGTCTCTGAAACCTACACCTGGTACTAGCTCAGAGTGAAGGAATGATATTCTCATTTCTTCCACTGACTAAATCTTAGATCCTTGTGCCTTTCGCTGGCATTATACTATTGAGATTCCTTTGCTTGAGCCAAGCAGCTGCTTTATTTTCCGGAGTCTGTTCCTAAACTCGGTAGCATTCGCGGTTCCTTCGATTAGAAAATAATATACACATGATGGGTGGCCATTTATGCATCTTTTCTGAGAGAACTGACTTGTTTTTGGATTTGCTTTCTTCTTATACCACATTTTGACCACGTAGCGTTTGTACCTCGGTTGGAATTAGAAGTTTTTCATCTCTCCATACACAGAATCGCTAAAGGTCCCATAATGAAAGCTCTCACAGTCGAGGAAGGTAAAGAACGTCATAACATTGAGCTCAGTCTTGCCAGGTCAATTATGTATGACGATTGAATCTACCAAGATAGTTCTTGAAACCTTATCCATAAGAAACTCTCACAGGGACCAAGAACTCATTTAGCAGATTATCTGGTATGAATTAGCCTAGATATCGGGGATGATGCTCTGGTTCATTTATTCTCGGCGAATCTAAAAGGCAGTGAAAGTAAAGCTTTGATATTTACACCAACACTCTCAAGGACTGACAAGGTGGAGATGAAAGGAATACATTAGACTACCTAGATAAATCAGATATTAAAAAGTCAAAATATAGGTATACAAAGGACTAAGTACAATGGGACTAATTTGCAATGTCATAGTTCCCACAGTAAAGAAGAGTTCCAAAGGGTTCTTAACAAAATTAGAGAAAGTTTCTTACTGAAGGCTAACTAAGCGCATATGTCCTCTCTTCAGGATTTAGACGAGAGCACCCTCTTACCTAAGATACTTTTCAAAGTTCATTCAAGGGTGTTCTGGTGTGGGAATAGGAAAAATACATTAGATAGGTAATCTATATATATATATGATTGACAAAGCCTTGTAATAAAGATTAACCAATTTGTTCTCTGTATGTCCTCAGTCCTGCATGAAATATTCAAATCTTTAATGGTATTAAAATTCATAGAAGACTTTCACACTGTAAAATCTTTAAACTCATATCTAGTTATCCATTTCTCACCTTCGAAGTTCAAATCAAGTAAAATCATTCACCTAACAACCACTGATCAACCAACTAATTAATGTGGCGTCCACTAGAAAGCTCGGAAGATTACCGAGCCCACAAACAAGATTAGCGTGGTGAGGGCTATTGATGGCTCTTGGTTCTTGATGATATCCAAGTCCTTCTCGAACTTGAAACTTTTAATTCTTTACAACAACACCAACCTTGAGAAGATATCCCCTACACAAAACTTCTGTACTATCATAGATTTTCTTTCTATAGGTGTCCTTCATACTTCTTTCTTCTTTCGTTCAATAAATTTCTCTCGATCAATCATATACCTTTCACTTATCCAGACAACTTGATTACTTGAAAATGTCTTCCAACGGGGATAGAAACGACCAACTTGAAGTGGCAAGACTTCTTGACGCAAACTATTTTGAAGATCAAGAGGTCAAAATCAAGGAAGAACCCTTGGAGGAAGAGACTGGCGTCGACCAGTCTATTCCTATTTATAATCCGTCTTTTCATCCAGATCTTGAGAGCCAAGCTGATGGATATCGTTCCAATTCACCAGCTCTGTCCATTCGACTACGAAGAGCTGAAAGACCTGCGTCTGAAATGCACGCATTCACGGCAGTTGGTGTGGCCGCTTTGACTAATAACCGGCTTTTGCAAGAGCGTCTCAATAGGTTATTATCTATGCCGCACTCAGAAGACGAGTTCCCTGATGATGAGTTATCTCATACTTTAGGATCTCAATTAAATGATCGCGTTCACAACCCTGGCTATAGCCAACCCAATCCTGCCTATTCAGAAACTCACCATAAGCAACTTGAGTCTCACCCACCTCAAATGTCCGGTTATCCTCAAAATTCATTTACGCCAGAGCATCCTAATCAGTTGGATGGTTCCCTTGATCATCAGTTTCCACAAACACCTTTCTCTGATGATCTAGATGATACAATAGAAGTTGACTCGACTATTTTCAACACCATGGTTCCTTCCGAAGATTTCTCCGCTAGCCCGACCCCAACTCTGCAACAAGAAGTTTTATTTGAGAACCGAGCACCCTCTGCACGTCGTGCAGGTCGTCAAACAAGACGCGAGTCTGCCACGTCTAGAACCAATAGAGCTGGTGTTGGGAGTCAGAGACACCGTGCCAGACGTGCAGAAGATTTTGCTCCTCCCCCTGGTGCGATGACTGCTGCCGATGTGATGGCTGTTCACGAGAACAATATCCGTCGTAGAAACAAGCGGTACAAGAGAGCCGGCATTAAGCAACCACCTCTCGACGATATTGAACAGGAAGTTGTCGAAACACTCAACGAACTTGGTGTCTCGATCGATGCCAACGACATGTATCTTCAGCATGTCTATTCACATAGAGATACGACGCTTGATGGAAGTTTGAACGAATCCGCAGACAGCACGATCGATACAATGGATACTGATGAGACAGTAGTACCACTTCTTCCTAGTCTTCCCGAGGAACCTGACTTTCCAACAAGCGCTCGCTGGCGAAGCCGTGGGCCAGACGGCCAGGCAAGAGCAAGATGGGGATCTGCTCGATGGCGAGCAAAGGGAAAGGCACAAAAAACGCAAGCCTGGAAAGATGCGACCGAAGATGAAAGAGAGGCAATGGAAACTGCTGCAGCAAATGCTGTTGTGTTCATGTAAGTTTTTTATTCTATCATGACTTAGGTATCAATACTGACCGAACTATAGTGCAGACCCTATTCCGGTTGGACCTGTACCACTACAATCTCTTGTACCATGGTTGAGATCAGAAAGAGCTATCCTCTTACAAGAAGTGACCGACAATAACAAAAGAATCCAGACTTCGAGCAAGAGATTAGATACAGTGGCTGAAGCCTACAACCGGCGCATGCAAACCAGAACACAAAAAGCGGGAGAGCTTTGTATTGCTACTGGTAACGGTGAATCTCGCAAGAATTCGCGGTTAGTAAAAGACCGCACTCCACCACATAGGACAGCAGAGGCGATCATGTCCAACTTAAAAAAGTGGTCGGAATTGGGGGATACCTGTCTATGCAGCCAACATCAGCGGTATCCTGTCGGTGATTTCGAACGAAGTGGAGATTTTCCCCATGGCCACGGGGTTGGGGAATGCATACCCAAGAACCGCAAGGATGATGCTTGCCATTGTGATGATCATCTTCGAGATTTCAATGGGGAGTTCCCTCCAGGACATACAAAGGCTCGTTGTAGTCACCTTCTCATTCGATCCAACAAGTGATTGAACCCACTTTTCAAGGACGTATAAGAAGCCTTGTTGCTACTTGTGTGTCACAGACTTGGCAAACTTGTTCCGTTTTTGTTTGTTCGGTTTTTGGGCTTAAACTTTGCGGTGGTCAGTTTGTACTGACACTGACTTTTACTTGATGAATGGAGGGAACGTTAGAGAAGTGTGGCAGTGATACATAGGACCTTGATCTTGATTGTAATGAGTAACAACCTTGATGCTTTTTTCACTTTCTTGAAGTGTTCTTCAAAGAACCTTGGTGTACATATCGATGATAATAACTTGCGAAATCCTTCTTCTGCTAGTTCGAAGTAGCAGTTTGCTTCTTGGAGGAGAGTTCCAAGTAATACTAGTCCATAGAATTCGTTGATTTTATTGATAATTGTGCACCTCGAGATTTGTGAACTTTGCGTGAAATAGACTCTGGCTGCGTCCAGCAGCTGTCTGGTGAGATTACGGCGTACTCACCACAGAGTATTGCGTTCCTGCTTTTGAAACCCATTTCTCTTCGCTTTTAAAGACATACCTAGTATTTACCGCCAATGATTTCATGCGCAGGAAAGCTTATAATAGAGTAGCTTTGAGTGTTTCCCAGTGATTACTTTTTGAAGTTACAATGAAGTGAGGTTAGAATTTAGCGCCACGAGACAGAGCTCTGATAAAGTTAGCCGCGCAAATGCCGAAGTCTACGATTTGAAATTACAAGCCTGAATTGCAACCACAGACAACAACAGGATATCAAAAGTCAGATATCAAGCCTTGACGAACTCAGGTATTGTTTTGCAATAGTTATAAGAAAGCTCAAAATGCCAGATGCATTGCCTTATTCAAAGATTTCGAGTGTACATGTTCGAGAGCGACTGCCATGAGATTGTTTCACCCTTTCGGAATCACTCCGAGATTGCTTCTCTCAACAGTGCTAGCCTCTTCTTTTGCTTTCTCTTCATCCTATATTTAAGGGCCTGAGACTTAGTGGCGAAATAGAGAATGAACAGGTGAAGGTAATTGAAGTTGAGAAATGGATTTCAGAGAACGGGTCATTGGCACCGTTGCTGGGGTGCTTTTCATTCCCATGATTCGATCTCAGCACAAAATTTTCTCAGCCATATCTTCTTTGCAAGTCTTTTGCTGTTGTAGCTTTATACGCAATTGGTTATCCTCATTTAGAAATGACCCCTAGTAAAAGCGGTCTCAGATGGATCAGTCATGTTACACAAGAATTGATTGATAAAGACTCTTTATTTGGTTAGTATCCCACCTGGTAATTTACACAAATTCCGACCCCAAAATTTCGTACACATGAAGTATATAAGACTCCCCACCGTCTCATCACCCAGGATATCATACTCAGCAAAGCAAGATTTCATCTTCCCATGATGTGCGGCTGTAGCGGATCAGGTCTTATTCTCCAGTTCCAGATCACTTCTTGACCATTACTCAAGTACTTGCTTGTTTTTGGTTTTTCTTGTGCATGATGGAGATTTTGTGAAAGAAGATAAGGTTAGGTTAGTTACTGTTGTTACTGGAAAAGTATCATCATTGACCCTCTCAGTGCTCATTTCAATCCTATCGGCTCTGCTGTCAATCTCTAAGTCACGAACAAAATATCCTGCAATTATCAGTCGATCTTATGACTCGATCATTGTAAGATTTGCACAACAAGAATTGTCGGGAGCGATTCGAACAGTATCCAAAGATCCATGAGTGGGCACCGATGCCTCATATTGATCAAATTACTAACTACTGCAGCCGGGGCGTGGCAAATTAGACCGAAATCAAGAATGATGGTTTCAAGGAGAAGTTTTCACATCTATTATATAGAGCGATAACCAAGAGTCTCTAGATCAGATGACCTGAGAAGGTTATATCAGCTTAGCCACTAGGGTTCTCACTCTCTCACTCTCTAGATGCAGCTCCATTGCCCATTTCTCATCACCTTTTTTCTACTCAACAAAGTATATAAATGTCCCCAGGACATTTGGTTCAAATCAACTACTTTGAACGAAAGCAACAACACAATGTTATACTTTTGAGATTACTAGCTCTCTACACTTTGAATATCTACTCGGTTTTTGAATCAAGAAATCTGGATTTGTGCTTGAATACAGCTTCAAAGACTTTCTCATTCCTTTTCGCCGGTGAGCATATCACTGTCGATTTTAAAATAGCCATCTGTCGAAAGTATACCACAGTCATCGCCATTTCTCTGATTATCATCGTCTACTCTTTTCCTTCCGTTCTTCTCCCTTCTCCTCTACTCGTCCCTCCATTCCACCAGTTCTTTCACTACAAGCTATTAAAGCCCCAGAGGAACCTCAGAGTATACAAGCAGTCCAGTAATCCCAGCACCATTTCTACCTCCGATTCCAACTCGGATGTTTGTCAAAGATTTTGCGAAAGGAAAACCATCGTATCAAGTTAGTTTATATACCAATCAGTATTCCTTTCTAAAAACCTCCCTTCAAATCAACAAGAAGTGGGGCGTAGTAACAAATATTCAACCGTTCAAACGACATGAAATCACTTCTGAAAAAGTTAGAAGGGTATAAGAGCAGCCAGAAGACTCCTAGTAACCAGCAATTATCCAAGCGAATGCGTAGGGTAGGGCAGACAAGACAAGGCTTTCCAGTTGAAGAAACAGATGGCCCGAAAGACCCAAGTAAACTTTTCAAAACTCACAGGCTACTTTTCTATAAGTGTTACAGCCAGGGAACTTGTGTGTTGTCAAACTGCGGTATTGTCGTATATAATATTCTCGATATTAAGAATAAGAATTTCAAGAACATGACAGCAAGAGTGGCACACAAAGCTGAAAATACAAACCCCTTTCACAAAATGACGACGATTATGTGCTGAGAAAGGAGGAAGGAGGAGTCTAGCATGTTTTAGGAGCAGAGAATCTAATACCATATCGACTGAAATTCCAACGAAAATAGAAACCTAATTCATCTTGCTGTCGATCATTATATTATAGAGAAAGGAAAGGGGAAATAACTCTTGGGTGCGAATTTTGCACACATCAGCATCCGAGCATTTCAGATCAAACCATCGCTGCTCTTGAAACGATGCTATATCTAGGAAACCATACACATCCTCCCCTCATTCCCCTTCACCTAGCAAACAATCCCAAACAGATCTCCGAATCGAATTCCACAGGAACCCAATTTGCAAATACATCTACCCGCCCACCCATATCCACAGACCAATTCCTCGCTCCAAACTTAGTAAAACTATATACATCGAATCTCAATATACACAGATATCCCCCCTTATCAAAACCCACAACCTACACTCCATTCCATTTCCCACTACCCACCCAGAGTCGAAACAAAAAGCGAGACGTGGATTGAATTGAATTGAATTGAATTGAATTGAATTGAATTGAATCATTCTAAAACACATCTCATCTCATCTTATCTTACTAACAACAAAAACACATTTTCAGATCTTCACCGCAAACAATAAAAAATCCACACATTCCGATTTTCCAGTTGAAGTTTCGATATATCCCATCCATCCCGTTGGATATATACCTCAAATATTTTCATCACTTTTAAAACATCGCCATCCGCGAGCCTTAGATTCGTTCATCACTACAAGATAGCAAGGCCCCTCCTTCCGCATAAATCCACATCAAGAAGAGTAGCGAGCGAGCGAGCTAAAACTAATACTCATCCCATCTCATTACTACTGAATCCCAATGGCTTCCCTCATTCGAAAATTCTCTCTCTTATGCTTATTTTGTTGTACTATCGTCTATCAAATGTAACGGAGTTATATAAAAATTATGATTTTTGCGCGGATGCAAAGAAAAGAAAAGAAAAAAAAAGTAGGATCCAGCTTGCAATATGAGAGTTCTCTCTAGTGTTTAGAGCAATCTAAATGAAAGCACTCATCTCTATTACAGGTTTAGGCTGAAACCTATACTGTGAGCGAAACTTGATACTGGTCACGTGACCTCTTTCTATAGCTAGTATTTATAGGTCTTTGTTGGTATCACTATGGGGATGGTGAAGTAATATAGTACTAATAATTTACACTATTGTAATATTACTTGAGATTCTAAAAGCTAAAGACTACGAATGTATATGCTATAGTATAAAGGCACTAGCGTATACGCTAGTGCGGTCACATAATCTCTGTTCTAATACTAATGATTCTTTTAAAGTTATTATATCGTATCTTTTCTAGTTAATATCCCTTTTCTAATATAACCATTTATATTACTAATCTCTTTCAATTTATTCTGTAATTTTAATCTTTATAGTATTATTATTGATTAAATCCTTTAGAGCTTGATACAACTTAGATTTAGTTATTATATCTATAGGGTTAGATTTTCTATTAATCCATTTAATCTTTATAATCTCTTGTTTTTTATATACTTCTCAAATTATTATTATATTAATTATTAATCTCTTTTCGATAGTTATATCAAGTTTTGTGAGATAGTTGTATAATAATCTTGAGTTGATATATATAACTAATAATATCTTATGGTTTGAAAAGATCTTGTTAAAAGTATTTTTGATTGTTATATTAATATCAAAATCTAAAACTATATTATAGAGCTTTGATGTTAGTACGCTCCTAGTAACTTTTTTGTATTTAATTGATAATTAATAAATGATATTAGCTTTATCGAATTTATTTATTAAAATAATAATATATCCAATTTAAAAAAATAAATCTTTATTATTAGTAAAGGATATATCTGTAAATACAATCAATTTGAGAGAATTCATATCAAGTGGGACAAATTATAATCCTTTTTCTAAATTGTTGATTTATTATTAAATATATTTATTAAGAGTATTAATATCTTTTTTTTTTAGATTAACTATTTGTATAGTATATAATAAGTTGAAAGCTGTTTTTAATTGATATATAATTATTATATATATTCTTCAAGCATATTGTATAATATATTAGTCTTTTATTATTATTAACTTTCTAAACTTGTTATATGTATTTTGTATATTAGATGGTTTTGA